CTCAAATATATGTCAAAATCAAAGGTCAAGGTCAAAGGGTTCAAATTGTTAGTATCAGAAGAAAGTCTTGTCACAAGGAATCATACATGTTAACCTATTGTGATGAAAAAGAGGGAGATTCAGACCTCAAAAGAGGTAGCATTGCGCGCGTGTTGTTTAACGCTTGGATTATCGATATCTTTCATGTAATATACATGTATATTATAAGCCTTAAATGAAATCAAGTACCTATACTTATTAATCTTAAATATCAACAGAAAAGAAGAAAACAGAAACACCTTAAGTTTGACATAAATTGTACAAATTCAAATATTTTTCATGCTCATCATTTTGCTTGGATTGGCTTCTTTACTTAGCCTTTTGAAGAGTGATCTTTGCTGAAATAGCCTAAAAACAATAATTCTGAATGTTCATTCAGTTTTTAAACAAAACAAATGATGGCATGGTTTAATCTAGATCTAAAACAAGTTCGTTTCTTTCGTTATATAAATCAGATTTCCCGCAATGATCGAAAACGAAAGTAGAGATGTGCCACATGACTTGGTCAATCGAGTGATTTCTATTGACTTTATTGATAAAGTTGTGAGCTTCTGTTCCCTCAAAGACGATGTCAAATGTTTTCATCTAATTCTTAAAAGCTGTATCTCCTTTTTCATGGCAGGGATGTTGATTAATTTATCGTAACCAATGTAATCACTGGTAGTCTTATGTTGTTGTCGTTGTCAAATCCGTGCTTGAAATCTATGTACAAAAAAAGCGTTTGTATGATTCCGAGTCAAATCACGCGATATCTAGCGAGATTTTATGAGAGTGGCTTCCAAAATGGATACCCAAGCGAACCAAAAATACTTTAGACACAGCTTTTGTAGAAAAGCGGTAGATTTCTGAATGAAATCGGTAGGCGGGAGATGGAGTGAAAAAGCGGTAGACTCCCGCCTAAATCGGGAGAGTTAACATGTATGCAAGGAATGCACATGTGAAATAAAGAAATCTCTAGTAATTCCTGTTCAAAAGTTAATTGCCAAGGTTAATTTTTTTGTTTAAGTGGTTCAAACTCTAGGGTCAAGTTCAAACATATTTATACCTGTTGACAGTTCACAATGAATACAATATGTCATGATAAGTATGAAAGCCCTAGCACCTACTGATCAAAATTTAGGCAGAGTTTAAAGTTTGGTATTTTTCTTGTAAAAATGTGTATCCCATGTCAAGCGATCAGAGGTAAAAATTAATGGTACCCAAATAAAAGGTCTTATTAAATTGTCACAAGAAATAAACCTTTAAATGTGGAAGCTATTTGTATAGCCCATCCCACTTAAAACTTATGGGCAAGCTAACTAGGATTTAATTTCTGCAGACTTATAGACAGACATACTAAACACAAGAAACAAAATATGTATAATAATTAGTCAAATGGAAAAAAATATACTATTTAACTGGAATAACAAAATACATTGTTATTTCAGGGACAGGAAGTGGGTAGGAAGATTGGAATCCCCCATCCCCCCCCCCCCATCTGGCATTTGCTTTGTTATTTAAACAAGACTATATACTGTAGCAAGTAAAAAATGACTCTTGACATCCTCTCCCTATAAACTTAGAAAACATTGACCTCACTATCATTGTTTTTTTATTTGTTTATTTGTTTTCATTTTTTTCTCCTGCTTGTCACGAAATTCTGGGCTGGAATTTTTTGACTGAGATGTGAACCCCCCTCCCTACTCCCGAAAAAAATTCTGGATCCGCACCAGTATTGGCAGTAACTGAATGTCACATCGACAACGGGAGATAACTTCACAATATGAAATTTGTCTAGTGTGGCATGCGATGATCTTTCACCCTTTTTAAACTTTAACCTAATAGTTTGGGTGTATTTTACCCCCCACTAAACTAAAACTTCTACTTACCGACTCCCTGTGTCTCAACTTCATGAAATATAAATCCAATTATAACTCAAAATGAATTAATCCAATGCACACCAGACTGCAGCATGATTTTGGCGAACCTTCGTCGATTCCATCACCTTATCAGATGAAGTGGGAATCGGCCGAGGTGTGCCAAATGGTGTTTAATCTATAAATATGATAATGGGTGACGCAACGTGATGTGATGTAGAAATTTACATGTTCACATGTATAGTACAAGAACAAATTTTAAATTAATTCATAACAAACGATATTAAATTTTAACAAACCTTTTCCATCTAGCCTATTCCAAAAAGTATGTGCTGTGTGATTGTGGTGTCGAGGGGGGGGGGGGGGGGGTTAGTAAATTTAGAAAGGTCCTATTATGAGCAAAACATATATCAAAATCTAATTTCAGACGCGGATCCAGAAATTTTTTCCGGGGGGGGGGGGGGGGGGGGGGTCCTCCTCAGTCAAAAAAAAATCCTATCCCAGAAATTGACAATCAAAAAAAAACCTAAAGTAAATCTCACCCAAACGTCAAAAACCTATATCGTGGGGGGGGTGGGGTGGGAGTAGTGGTGACTTCTATTGCCGCAAATTAAATGTTTAACTTTTCATACTTATTTTACACATATTCGTGTTTACCAGGGGGGGGGGGATCTGCATTTTCCAAGGGGGGTCCATTGTAACTTTTTCCTTGTTTTAGTATATACATTTTTTAACCTTGTAAATTCCAGGGGGGGGGGTCCTGACCCCCCCCCCCCCCCCCCCCCCCCCCCCCGACAGATCCGTGCATGAATTTACATCATTAATAAAATTCAGACTGGTATATAATGAATTAAACATGTATAAAATAAATATAAGAGGTTCTGAGTTATTGGTCACAGGGTCTGAGAATTTCATACTCAATTTGATGAATACATGTAAATTATAGAATTATTTTGACTATTTCTTTGGAAAGCCGCCCAATATGTAGGAGCGTGTATTTAGAGGCAAACACCTTAATGCAGGTATTACTGTCTCATGACAGCATCTAGTTTATAATTAAATTTACAGAATAAAAAAAATCGGCACTTCTCATTTATGTATCAAATAAGTATATATTTAAATAACGAAAAATGTAAAGGAGTTGACGTCCAAGATTTACGCAACAAAAAACCTTATAGCCTAATAAGAAAAAAAACCAATCTGCGCATAAGATATAGGTAAAATCAGCAGCATAAAAAGATTAACATGTACAAATAAAACCCTTTGTGTATGAGTTGACTCCTCAATTTTTTAACACTGACTCAGAGGAAAACTATACATTAAATCACATAGGGAACTATGTACAAATGACATTAGTTTGTGTACGAGTTGACTTTTGATTTGTGTACGAGTTGACTTTTGATTTGTGTACGAGTTGACTTTTTGTGTACGACTCGGTTTGTGTACGAGACGGTTTGTGTACGAGTTGACTGTAAACCGTTTGATCGCCAGTGGCCAGATAGGTCAATTGGATTTCCGATCCACCCATACATTTTCTCACTTCTTGTTATATGTGTAATATGGTTTGGGCCTTGAGTATCAGCCTGGATAGCTCAATCGGCAGAGCACCTATCAGACTTGTACATACAGGTGTTCCATTTATGGTCTGGCCTGCCAGGGGCAAAAAGAACTTGGATTGACTACAAGGTCAAAAACAATGTAAGGAAGAAGAAATGTAAAGGTTTGCATGGGCTTTGGATATCGCCCTTGGTAGCTCAGTCAGTAGAGCTCCTTAACAGTGATGTAGGGGTCCTGGGTTTGATTCTTGGTTCACATTTTCTTCTTTCCTGTTAGTGTTACAGATTTATCTATTTTATGTGACCATGATTGACTAAAATTTACTTTAATTTTGTTTTTAATAATTTGCGTGATTTAACCATGTGTTAATTATGAAAGACAATAAAAAAACGAGTACAGTATAGTTACCTTTATGTGTGATTTACTTCAAAGTCACATAATAAACTCCCACTGTACAGGAACACAGTTTCACTCAATCCTAGATTTACGTTTCGCCCTGACATAAAAAAATAGATTCCATTTGAAGGGTTACATGTAAATAATAAAATTTTGACATCATCAACGAATGACTTATCAAACTAAATGCACATTACATTGTTTAACGGTCAAATGTCACAATAACATACTTTTTTGTTCCGGGTGTAAACATCGTAAAAACTCGATTCCGATTTATTTTCTTCCATAAAATAAAAAAAAGATGTTGAGCTCGAGGATATTTATTTTTTTTTTTTCCCCATATTCTTTCGTCTGGAAAATATTTCCTGTAATTTAACAGCAATCCAATACTTATATAAAAAGTATAAAATCTCATTTTTGCAAAGAATATTGAGTATAATCAGTGAAATTAAAAATTAAGTGTTTTTTTTAATGTAATGCACTTGTATCGGGATCGGGAATCAAGGAATTTTATTTATACAAAATAGTTTCGATTTTTTCTGTCTTTCGTCATCATTTTATGTATTAGAGACTAATCAAATTTTTAAGTAAGCATTATTTACCACTTTTTTTGATTGAGATCACTCAATGCTTTTGATTTTATTTCTATGATTTATTTATGTTTTTGTATTCAGCAAGAAGTCCTTTCATACAAAATATGTGTCGAGAAAATTCGGGTTTATTTGGTTCGGGAAAACAGTATCACGAGTATGCCACCTGAAATACTCGTAGAAATTTAACTGATATATATATAGTCCCAAAACTTTTAGAACTTGAAGAGAAAAATCTTCCAGAGTGATTTTTATGAATTGTTGTCAGTTCAGAATTGAAAACTACCTCTGCGTATAATCATCATGTTTGATGGAACGCTGTATTATGTAGATGTAGATGCATCAAATTGTGTGATTTTTTGTACATCCTGAAAAAATATCGATACTAATTTTTGAAATAAGTATGATTTATGGTAGATGAATTAGGCTACTTTATGTGGGTAAATAAATCTATGTAGGTAAAACTAGTAATTCGTTAATTGTATCAGACTAAAGCTCGACATCTAGCTCTGATGGGATGCATGTTGACAGGTTGAATTTTATGACTGGTGTTAGCACAATATCTTGTTCATATCTTTACAGATATCTTCTATATAAAGGTTTTAAGAAACGATGAATGGGCAGGCGTGAGCACTCACAGACTTTATACATCTGATCATTCATCATGGATAAAATGCCTGCAGAGAACAAAGAGGAGGATGAGTTGAGCATTCCTCGAGCCGCCCTGAACAAAATGATTAAGGAGCTGATCCCAAACATCCGCGTGGCAAACGACGCCCGGGAACTCATCCTCAACTGCTGCACGGAATTCATTCACTTGGTTTCGTCTGAAGCAAATGAAATCTGCAACAAGCAAAGCAAGAAGACAATATCACCAGAACATATTATTGCAGGTTAATTATAAGGCAGCGTATCTTAATTTGCATGCAAAACATTTTTCCCCACTGTTACCAAGCATATCTGTTACATTTTGCAGAATTATGCACATGCAGATGATGCAGTTTCACTTACATCATGTACATGTACATATACATACAGCATACAAAAATGTATCTTATATGTATATATATATATATATATATATATATATATATATATATATATAGTGAGACTAAAAAAGCCCTTGGATACTTAAAAAAAGCATAAAATTCAATTTCTAAGTTAACTTTGAGTTTGAAAACCATTACACACATATCAAGTTTATTTGCATTGGATTAATTTAACTACAAGAAGAACTCATCCTGAAAAAAAATGCTTAGAGAGTCATGAGGTTAATAAATTCTATTCAGCAATAAACATAGTCTTTGTAATATAAATTAACTGATAGTGAGCATCATTCTATTGTGAACTTAATGAATTTCCTTTTCCTTTGTAGCACTTGATCACCTTGGCTTTGGGAATTATAAAGAGGATGCTGAAGCAGTGTTAGAAGAGATAAAAGCTGTAGCTGCTATATATATATATATAAGAGGGAGTTCCCGTCTGGAAAATCTGGGAATCCCTGAGGAAGAACTGCTCCGACAACAGCAGGAATTGTTTGCCAAGGTGGGTTTCTTATGAAAAACTTAATATTGCAGTGATCTTAGTCTGTTAATTATATTAAATATACAAGATCGGTGTCTTATAGACAACTAAAATAATATTGCATGGATCTTGATCTGATAATTATATTAAACCCATAGGAAATAGTTGCTTAGATGGGTATTCTATATGTCATTATGTTGCTGGAATATAATGATTTCATACTGTTCAATAATTAAAACTGTAGGTTAAATACTTTAAGCTAATATTATGACTTAAGTATAGGTATTTTTCAAGCCCTCTTTGCCATACTGTAGAAGCACATATATTCTTTGGGATAAAATTTCGTTGTTTTTATATCAAATAAAGTTTCGTTGGGATTTAATTTCGTCATAGCATCATCTCTGAAATGTCAAAATTATTTATTACATTCATAACACGTTCATAGCGAACAAAGAAAGATAACTCTGTGTACAGGTAGTTCTTCTGTATCGAATAAACCGAACGTACGGAATTACATATTCTGGATTGCGTGTCTCAATGTCTTTATAATATTAATATACCCTTTGGCAAAATTCAGTTTACCTGAGTTAAGTAGTGAGCTGCATAGTTTTCATAACTAAATTTCTTACACTTAAATCGAATTCTCGATCATTCTGAAATCAATCCTGACATGGAAACATGTCCTTGTTGAAGTGGGTAAAAAGTTCTAAAATAAATGAACCCTCATCTTCTGGACTACCTTCCCAAAGTCGAGCAACATCAGATAAAGAAGCCATCGCAATAAGTGCAGCTAATAATGCAATTGAAAGTTTGTCTGATTCTCCAAAATCATTGCCATCACGACCATGCAAACGAAAATGTGGAGAATATGGCTCGTATACACCAGAACAAAGGGCCAGATTTGGACCAGATCCATGTGCTATGTGTACTATAACAGATTAACGATTAAACTATTGTTCTTCATTTCTTATATGAAAACTAATCATGAATTGAATGTTTTGAGATATTCCTTGTACATATCAATATCAATGGTGAATATGCTGATATTTACAATGAAAATATATACTGAAACGCAAAAGAAATGCAACAAGCAGTAATCTACAAATGTTTGAATTTTTTATCTAATGATTTTCTAAACTCACTTTTCAGAACATCAGAGATTTTATAAAAATTTGGAATGTTTATCTTTTAACTTTGTTAAGTAACATGGGATTGTCAAACCCCCCCCGTCAGTTATTCAATTACAACGTGTAAGACTGACCTAAACAACAATTGCAGCCTAATTTCTACGATATAATAGGTTAATCAATATCGAGATTTGAGCGAAGGAATTATTCTTTGCCATTTTTAAATGCCTGTTTTTCAGACGATTAGGTCGAATTTTCTCTAACTTAGCGCATTGTATTGTAGTAACCCTTGGACTTCCAGTCCAAGGACTATCATTTATGCATATGATACGTAAGACCCCGTTGAGACGTAATGTAGTGTGTTTTTGCATCATCAACTCTCCATCACTTTACTTTGAGATTTTCCAGCTAGAGCAATGGAAATGCGTTCTTAAGCCATTTTCAAGAAGCCTTAGCATCGTTACTAGAAAAGAAGGGAGATTTTATTTTTTGATTGTATACTATTTTACGTCCCTCTCCAGAATATTTCACTGATATGGAGACGTCACCATTGCTGGTGAAGGGCTGCAAATTTAGGCCTATGCTCGGCACTTATGGCCTTTGAGCAGGGAGGGATCTTTATCGTGCCACACCTGCTGTGACACGGGGCCTTGGTTTATACGGTCTCGTGCGAAGGACCGCCCCATTTAGTCGCCTTTTACGACAAGCAAGGGGGTACTGAGGACCTATTCTAACCCGGATTCCCATGGGGCTTATTTCTTGAAATATTATTTCTTGAAATATTGCTGCATTACTTAAGATGAACAGTACAAACCCTTAAAACTCCAAAATATTGCCAAATGTTCTGTTAAACATGCAATATTTGTTTTCTGTTAAGCAGACTCAAACTTGACTTCCAGCTATGGTATGAAAATCATTCAACCTTTAAATTACCGATATTTACCAAATTGAAGATATCCATAATTTTAAGATACAAAATTCTTTACTTTACATAATTATTTCCCCCTAAAATAGGTTGTTGCTGTAAGCTTCCTCAGCACCCTGTCAAATGCCAATCAGCTTACAATGTTTCCATCCCGTGTAAATTAATTAAATTTTATCAGGACTACTCATGACATCCGTCCACATATAAAAAGGGGGGGCATCCTCAGCCCGTCGCATGTATTTAAACACCCTTTATAATATTTACTTCACATCCTTGTAAATCATAACCAAGTTCCATTTCTCATTTCAAATATTTCATTTAATAATGACTTCAGTGAAATATAACAAAACAGTCAGTACATCTATATGAGTCTAAGTCCTAGCTTAACATCTCTGTCCTAATAAAATATAGTGGATTGCGGTGTCCGTGCGGTGGAGAAATTATACACTACTTAATTTGTATTAGTTTACATTATTTTCTTTTACCTAAGTCACTAGTAATTTACAGTCAGTGATGTTGATGACGTAATATGATCTGATCGTTACGATCGTCGTAATGAAACTGGCGTTCGCTGCTCATATATATAACCTTCCATAAATGGTCACGTGATCACAACAACCAATGAATAATTGTCCTTTCTGGAGCAACTCGGAACTACTTTACATACATTTTGTGTAATACAAAGAAAATAACATCGCTCAAAATGTCCTTTCTACATGTAAAGTGGGAGCTATAAATTCTATTCGATATACATTAGAAAACAAGTTCAACAAACAATCTGTAATAAAACGGACACACACAATCCATGGCGTAGTAATACCGAACAATAATGCAAACACATAAGTATTACGCTACACATTCAAGTTCCAAAACATTTCGTCAAATACAGCATAATTAAATGACAATACTGCAATAAAATAACATTTAAGTATCAATTATGAATATTTGAGGACACGGACAGTGTTATTTCGATCTTATCAATTGTAAAACAACAATGTTTATGTCACATGACTAATTTCTTCGTAAGAAAGATGGAAGGCGCCCAATTTACAACACATGTGATAATGCTGAAATAAGTAAGTAAATTGCAGTCGTAATATGGTAGATAATGATGAAAAACTGACATACAACATCTCAGTATCACTGTCCCTTACTGTCTGTTCAACAATATCTCGCTAGATCGTCTAGTAACACAAAAACAGCATTTGTTTACATTAATACAATGTCGAAGTGCAATGTGTATTGCATCAATAATTCAAGTAAACAATAAGATAATGAAATAACATCAACAATAAAACATTTCTTATAGATTTACAACTGGATGCTACTTTACTTCACTTACAAACACTCCACCATCAGCCTGTGATTAATTAATATGCAAAATTCTAAAGTCCAACCCCCATGCATATTACATTGCGTTTCTTTTGCGTTTCAGTAAAAGTTTTTGTGTGAATAAAAAAGATAAAATACAACCCAGTATTTATGAATGCTTAGGTTAAAATTTCGTCATGGATTTAATTTTGTTGATTAATTCTGCCAACGAAAATAACGAAATTATATCCTCCACAAATATTCCTGCTTCTACAGTACTCCTCTGCATTGTTTCTTGAGGTGGAATGTGTGGCTAGGTATGAAGAGCTTATAAACATATCTTACTTTAAAGCATGAAAAAATGCAAGGCTAATAGTTGTTATCCCAAATAAGGAATGTATTTTATGATCATGTAATGTGATAGAATGTATCACATGTAAGTGTAAAACATTTGAGAGTCTGCTTTGATGTACACAATATATTTGTTGTCATGGATACATTGATAGTCAGCTTTGATCTACACAGTATATGTGTTGCCATGGTTACAACATAATATATGTATTGTCATGGTTACAACACAATATATGTATTGCCATGGTTACAACACAACATATGTATTGCCATGGTTCCAACACAATATATATAGTCATGGTTACAACACAATTTATGTTTTACCATGGTTACAACACAATGTGTTTGTTATACCTTTAAAAATTTGTTTCTATACAAATCTATACCAAAAAAAGTATATCATTTTTAATGTTTTGCTGAGCGGGCATAAAAAAATTGATGTTGGACCGCTGAATGAGATGTTGGACCGCTCAGAGAGATATTGGACCGCTTACGTCACAGAATGGGAAGAGCTTAATCTCATTTTCATTCGTTGTTGTTAAACAGTGACAGATCTGATGTTACATCATGCAATACAGCACAAAATACATGTATGTCAAAAAAAAAAAACAAAATAAAATGAAAGGTATAACAAAACATTTATTGACAGAGTTCTCGGGCAAAATGCGTTTTGCCAGACCCTCGAACCAAACTGTCTGCCTTTGGCCTAACGGCGTCAGGCAGACAGTTTGGTTCTTTGGTCCAACAAAACGCATGTTGCCCTTGAACTCGGTCAATAAATGTAAAGTATTACCATGGTGACAACACAATATATTTATTGCCATGGTTACAACACAATATATGTATTGCCATGGTTACAACACAATATATGTATTGCCATGGTTACAGGCTAAACAGGAACAGGCTCTTCTGGAACAACAGCAATGGCTCCAGACCCAGCAAGCTCTGCAACAGCAGCAACTTCAGCTGCCACAGCAACCAGAGAGCAACGAAGACGATTACTCCTAGCAGAAACAAAGATGGCCACCAATTCTGAATAGTGTTAGTGTTGATGTAATAATTGTTTATTGTTTTGTACCTCAGAAAAATTACTTCACAGAACAGAAAAAGGAGATTAATCAGGATTTAATTTCATTTTCTGCAGATTAGTTATGTTTTAATAGGAAAAAATTCCTAACTAAAGTTTTTGGATTTTTTTTATTTTGGTACTTTCTCAGAAATTGTTGTCTTTGTAGGATTTCAGTTTATTATTATCTTTTATCGCATGAAGAATAAACCACTGAATATGATTGAAATGGGATGGGAAGGTGTGGTTTTAATTTTTATAAAACAATGTCTCATAAATTGATTAATAAATAATCATTAAAACACAGTTCCTTGTTTGTTATGTAAGATTTCCTATAGTTCATATGATAATCATATTAAATCCATTTTTTAAATTAGAACACAAAAACGTTATTTGATTAGTTGAAGTGTTTTCAAATAATTATTGAAACAACTGTTTCATATTTGGATATTTTACTTGAAAAAGATCCTAATGGTAATCCAGCAACAAAACTCTATGATAAATGTTATGACTATCTTTTCTATTGTTAACTTCCCTTACTTATGCGGCAATATACCTTCAACACAGTACACCTGCATACACAGTTTATATATCTCAGTTGATTTGATATGCAAGAGCATGCTCTATGTACAAACAATTTCTAAATTATTAACTTATTGACAATCAAGTTGATGAAACAAGAATATTAGCAGTCTCGTTTAAAGTCATCATTTTATAAGTTCTATTGTCGATAAAATGACCTTGTCAGCAAATACAAGTTATCATTGAGTCATCAAATGCTGACTGACGTTTTTCATGCTTATTGTTAGTTAGTCCATAAATATTGCACTGAATTGACGACCTGATCCCACCTCTGATGTTTTTTGAGGTCCGTGTTTGCTCCGATCCTATTCTGTATTGTTTTATGGACTTTGATATTGAATACTGTTCGTTATCTCCATATCCTTCGTTGAAAAAAACCCTTAATTGTATCATAACTACAAAGGTTTTTGATACACTTGATGACTTTAACTTTCCAATCATCAACTTCCCCAACTTAAATTATGCAGCAATACCTTCATCACCTGCATATGGGGTTTTTGTTTCATTTGAATCCATATGCAAGAGAATGTTTTACGTATCAGCACGTTTTAAGGAAGGCCAACACTTTTACGGATCTGGTTCTAATTTTACACATCAATATAAAATTAAGATTTTCACTTTTCTATTGATAAGAATCTTTTGGGTGATTGAAAATGATTTAGCAAGTAAATATTTGTTTATTATAGTGTTATTGTACATATGAAGCATTTAATATACATTATTTATGGAAATTAACACTTTGCACTCTGTCCATAAGACCTATATGTCATTTAGTACATACACAGACACAAAATTCTTAATTGCTTTAATGGACCTAAATCTTTTTAATTTTCTTTTAAGCAAACTAACCTGAGACCAATTTTTATTGATTTAGAGCCTATATCATCCATTTTATTTTTATTATTTAAAAATTTTACATTGAATAATTGAAAAAATTGATATTCCAAAAATGGGGGTATACGTATTCAAAAGACTGTTTTGTTAAAATTCTCTGGTCAACCATAATAAAGTAGCTGTTTTTGTTAACATTAGATATAATTCTTAATAGTTTTAAAGAAAAAATGGCATCTAAACATTCTGGATTTTAAGAATTATAAAAAATACAGATATTTTGAGATTTTTTTCTGAAAGACATGGACAGATTCAACACCGATTTGTTAATATTTTGCAGTAAAGACTCCAAATATTCTCTTGGCAAATGAATATTTTTGATCTTCATAAGTTTTAACATAAATTTGATGTGATTTGGTGCATAAATAAGAGAAATATGATATCACACTTTTTTATGTTCAATTTTGGCTGTTGAGTTTTTAGAGGTATGTGTGCTGAGACATGTTGTATGAAAATTAATCTGCAAAGATATGTATTTTATGGGTGTTTTAGTAAGTTTAAGACTTGTTCAAGGTATTCAAATTGAAAAATTATCAGTTTGACAGACAATTCTGAAAGTACGGACCTACCTTAAAATGAGGTAAATTATTAACAAATGTAGATAAAACATGAATATCAGCAGTCGTTAAAAATCATCAGCTCTATGGTCGGTACATTGACCTTGTTAATAAATAAAATCTAGCATTAATTCAAATGCTGTCTGATGTTTTTCATTATTTTTGTTATGCCTTTAATTACCCGCTGAATTGTTCACAATTTTTAATGTTTTCCCGATTGGAACACACATCGAATGTGACCGGTTGGCAGGGCATGTTTACTCCACAATGGAACCTGGTCCCACCTCTGATGTTTTGGAGGTCCATGTTTGCTTTGCTCCTAATTTTTACCGTTTGAATGGACTTTTGAACTGGAATACTGTTCCTTATCTTCATATATTTCATTGTATGCTCTGCTGAATTGTCAATAATAATTGATTAATTAGACAAACTAGATGACGTCAGCCAACGTAAAAATTATAGACAACTTAGTGTAAAAATGATAACTTAACAATTAAGTATGTGAAACATGTCAATCAACATTCAACATAACGATTTATAGATTTATACAATATAACAAGGCCTGTGTTCAGAATTACAAAAGAATTAACCTGTAGGAGAGATACATTTTCCGGAAAAAGTCATATTAAAAAAATCAATGATAGTAAGTTGTTTTGCATTGTAAATGTGTCTAGATTTTACAAAGCATTTGAATCCTAAAAATTATCATTTGAAACTTTGAAATTAACCTCCAAAAGGGACCAAAACAGCATTTTGCCTACACCATTTTTTGCATGAAATTTGGCAAAGAAGTCCTTCAGGGCAGGCCTGCCCTTGAATTGAATATTGATAGATTTTGATTTAAGGAATAATTTTAAACATTTTTTAGGGACACCTTTGTCCATGGGTCAAAATTTGTTTTAAAAAACCTACAAAAATATCCACAAACCTACTTCTGTCATACTGGTTTATATTCATGACATATGCCTTCTTACAATGTATTCAGCATAGCTCAAAATATCAGAAGTGGGATCAGGTGCCATGGAGGAGTGAGCATCCCCTGCCGACTGGTGACACCCGCCGTATGCTCTTTGTCATGATTGGGAAAAATGCGTCGTCAATTCAGTGTATGAATAATAGACTAACAATTAGTATGAAAAATGTAAGTTAGCATTTAACACAATGATAAATTGTATTTGCTGACAAGGTTATTGTATCGACCATAGAACTTACGAATTGATGACTTTAAACAAAACTGCTAATATTCTTGTTTCATCAACTTGTTAGTCATTAATTTACAATGGGTTTAGAAATTGTTCATACATAGAGCATGCTCTTGCGTATCGAAACAACTGAGAAATATAAACTCCGTATGCAGGTGATGAAGGTATATTGCTGCATAGGTGAGGGAAGTTGACGATAGAAAAGTTAAGTCATCGTGTTTATCATAGAGCTCGGTTGTTAGATTACTATTGACGTCCTTTTCAAGTAAAACATCCAAATATGAAACAGGTGTGTTTCACTCTGTGGTATCTTTTATTTCAAGCTCACCAGGATATATCGTATCGACATAAGTATGGAAATTACCATTGTTAATTGACAATGCGTTGTCGATTATCTAAATAGCGTGTTGAAATATAGAATAAATATTTGAGATACATATGGAAATAACAAACAGTATTCAAACTCAAAAGTCGATTAAACGAATGGGGTTAGGTGTCATTGAGGAGTGAGCATACCCTGCCGACTGGTCACACCCGCCGTGTGCTCTTTGTCATTATAGGGATGTACTTGAAAATTTTGTCGACAATTTAGTGTGTAAATAATGACCAGACAATAAGTATGAAAAACATCAGTCAGCATTTGACTTAATCAGAAATTGTATATGCTGACAAGGTCATGATATCGACCATAGAACCTAGAAATTGTGACTTTAAACGAGACTGTTATTTTTGTTGCAGCAACTCGTTTTTCAAAAACTTACCTCATTATAAAAATTGTTCATACGTAGAGCATGTTCTTGCTATCGAAACAACTCAGAGATATTAACACCTTATTATGAATTTTAAGGTGTATTGCTGCAAAAGTAAGGGAAGTTGACAAGTGAAAAGTTAAGTCATCGCGTTTATCATAGAGCTCGGTTGTTATAGATTACCATTAACGTCTTTTTCAAGTAAAATATCCAAATATGAAACAGATGTATTTGACTCTGTGGTATCTTTTACTTCAAGCTCACCGGGATATATCGTATCGACATTAGAATTGAAATTACCATTGTGAATTGACAAGTCGATATATCTACATGTAAATGTCGAGTTGAAGGCTATAGAGCGAGAGTTTTGTTTTCTTTTCACATATAAGATTTTGGACCAATTCTGCTTCAAATGAATACAAAAATAGCAAAGTATATGCAGTTCATTCCTTGGGAAAATGTGCATTGACGACCTTTTATGCCAAAAATGCAGGAGGAAGGTTTACAGATTATAAAAATTTGTGATAAGGTCAGTTAAAGTTTCCTTTTACATTTCCATGACCCAGATACAAGTTGGAACCTCATACAAACTACATGCATGTTGCTTAAAGTCAACGACCAGAACAGATGTCGACAAGCTTTTTCTTAAGGATAATGGTATCCAATCCTCAGCTAGGAAGGATAACTCCATAAATCATCATTTGATTTAAAAAGCACCAGTATGAGGCTTGAAAATGAAATCTTTTCATGCAACAATTTTCATTTTATTCATCTTTATATGATTCAAGGTTTATGGAAGTCTTAGAAAAGATCTTATAAAAATTTGACATTTGAAGACCTTAAAAGGAAAAAAAAATAAATACACTTTTAGAATAGTACGATTTTCTTGAACCAAGCCTTAGATACCAACGCTTATTTGCATGATATGAAATTAGAAGTCATTTGTTAAGTCTTACAATGATAACAGAAGACTTATACACTATGTATACGTATTATATAATACATGAACGAAATAGAAGACATAGAATACCAAATAGGTTTTTAAAATCATGCCAATTTCTCTGAATGCCTGGATACCTATTGTTTTTTAACCTAAAATATATTTGTTGATCCATTTTCAGTTAGAAAATGCATAGCTGATATTCCTTTTCGCTTTTTCTGAAAATATATTGGAGATTTGACAATTTTTGCTATATAATATGATTAACTTAAATGTTTAACATAAAAAAAAATACTGTGGGTAAATATACATTCTTTATGGATTCAGAGATCTTTTATGTGTGTTTTCGATTACTTAACTGCTAATTTTATGAACCTGAGGATATGACTACCTTAAGACTGAAACCAATATTGGCCATATGGATCAATCAACGCATATTCGTATATTTACCTAGAACTGTTCTTTTTTAAACTTAAAAAGGAGACTGTTGGTATCATTGAATCATCAACTTATCTCACAATAAATCATGTAACTTGAATGGTAGATACATATACTTGTAACAATTTCATCAACACGGCATAGAAATGTCTGTATATGTAAACTTTTTATGTATGTTTACCTTAATTTTATATTTAAATTCCCCATTTGTAGGAAGCTTGACTCTTTATGTAGGCGATCTTTATTTTACTATTGATGCCTTAAGGTAAATTTTATACTAATTGATCGGATAGTTTTTAAGAAAGCTAAAGGAAAAAAAGCATGGCTAACATGTCAAACAGGCGGTGACTTTAAACTCGAAGAAAACTCACATATAGGCTCATGTCAGCTATAAATTTTCACAACTCACATTAGAAACTTCTTGGTATATCTTCTTGTTATTTGAAGCAAAACTTTTACATTCTCTCAAAGTACCCTTTAATTTAGATTTTAATGTTGGTTGGATATACTCCTCGCCATCCAGCAAAATTATTTCAAGCTGCGGCATCATTAACAAAATTAGAAAAAATAAACACAAGATCATTTATTAAATTTATTTTTTAAAAATTGGTTACAAAAGTCATAAATTATTATTGATCTCATTCTGTAACCTGTTAAAGTATAAAAATTGAACAATGCTAAAATTTTAAGAACAAACAGTTATCACATTTAAAACAGTAGAAAATAGTTTTCAGAAAAATGATCGCATGTGTGAGATACTTGGGCACTTCCGGAGCGTTGCCAGTATTCATTTAGTACTAACCGCCAGCAGTTAATCCACAAGCCATCCTACTAACGCATGCTCATCATCACGGGGGAGATCTTAACAACAAATATAACAACAGTAACAGTTTAATACTGAGCAGTGAAACGACAACAAAGTGTTTAATATCACTGGTATCTAACACTGGAATTCATTAAATTAATGTCTTTCTAGAGAAACAAGGCCAGGAGCACGGACAGAGAGACAGCCAACCATGACATCTGAACAGCGCGGTCAACTGAAAAAAAGAAAATAATAAACTGTACTAAGTGTACTAAGAATAGAATGTAGATTTGGAATTGAATATATTGTTAAACAGTATAGGCTAGAATGACAACCACGTGTACAGCAGTATAACTCCTAATCTGTGTACTGGACAATGGAGATTATAAATGTAAATTTTGACAATCACGTGTACAGCACTATAACTCCTCATCTGTGTACTGGACAATGGAGATTATAACTGTAAATTGTGACAACAACGTGTACAGCACTATAACTCCTAATCTGTGTACAGTAAAATGGAGATTATAACTGTAAATTGTGACAACAACGTGTACAGCAGTATAACTCCTAATCTGTGTACTGGACAATGGAGATTATAACTGTAAATTGTGACAACAACGTGTACAGCAGTATAACTCCTTATCTGTGTACTGGACAATGGAGATTATAACTGTAAATTGTGACAACAACGTGTACAGCAGTATAACTCCTAATCTGTGTACAGTAAAATGGAGATCATAACTCTAAATTGTGATAACCACGTGTACAGTATTATAACTCCTAATCTGTGGACACAACAATGGAGATTATAAATGTAAATTTTGACAATCACGTGTACAGCAGTATAACTCCTTATCCGTGTACTGGACAATGGAGATTATAACTGTAAATTGTGTCAACAACGTGTACAGCGGTATAACTCCTAATCTGTGTACTGGACAATGGAGATTATATAACTGTAAATTGTGACAACCATGTGTACAGTAGTATAACTCCTAATCTGTGTACAGTAAAATGGAGATTATAGCTGTAAATTGTGATAACCACGTGCACAGTAGTATAACTCCTTATCTGTGGACAATGGAGATTATGTTAAAACTGTAAATTGTGACAACCACATGTAAGCAGTATAACCCCTAATCTGCGGGCAAAGGAGATTATAACTCTAAATTGTGACAACCACGAATACAGTAGTATAACTTCTAATCTGTGTGTACAGTACAATGGAGATTATAACTGTAAATTGTGACAACCACGTGCATAGCAGTGTAACTCCTAATCTGTGTACTGGACAATGGAGATTATAACTATTAATTGTGACAACCACGTGTACAGCAGTATAACTCGTTATCTATGTTCAGGACAATGGAGATTATAACTGTAAATTGTGAAATCCATGTGTACAGCAGTATAACTCATACCTCCACTGGAGCTGGAGAAACTGACGCCCGCAGCGCTCTCTAGAGCCGACATTTGTGAAGAATCCAGGGTGGATCTTTGAGTGGTGGTGGTGGCTTGCGCTTGAGCTGGACTGAAATTTCCCAGCTGAGTAGCAGTAAAACCCTAGAAACATCACAGAAAATGTGTTAAGATTAGATCAACAAAATGTATCTTAGTTTTTATTTGAATTGAAAGTGATGAATTGAAAGCCATTGATCAAACAATGGTGATTTATATATCGAGACAACTATTCATGGATTGTTAAAACCTAAAAATTATCTTTAAAAGTTTAGAGGCAATCTTCTCTCAACAATTAATTTAAAGTTTTCTGTATGAGTACATCTAATAATATTACTCTGTAATTTAACAACACACTCACTGAAAACACTGAGGATGGAATAAGGGTAACGTGAGAGGCTAAAATCTCATCAATCTGAGCCTCAGTCAACGTGGCGATCTCCGTCTTACTGAGGCCACCTAGTGACGAAATAAAACATAATTTTTAATAAGGCCACCTAGCAACAAATAAAACATAACGTATATTACGGGTCATAAACCATCTGCTCACTCATATAAAATTGCTTGAACCTTAATAATTTTTCAAAAGAAATGTATTTATAAGCAAAATACAAAACAATTTAGCATAGCTTGTGCAACAAAAGTAGATAAGAAAACACTTTTACTTGGCAAGTCTATAAAGGAATAATAATATAAATTTATGTCATTATGAGTTATCTCATTTTATGTTTTGAAACAATTTGCTCAATAAACACGTGTGATGGTAAACGTTTAGCCCGATCTTGCATCTTACCGATGTGAGCCCCGACGTTGGTGACTTGGACACTCGTCCAGTTGTACACATTACCAAAAGCAGTCTTGGCGTGGTTGGCAAATTCTACCATCTGAGTATCACTGCAGCTCGTCACTTCCCCAACCTTATCAGCAGATGCTCTGTTAATTATTAATTAGTACTGAATAGATTATTTTACTTTATGTTCAATATATTTTAACCTCCCCGAGAGTCGAATTCAAATACTAAACTTTTTTGGGAGGGGGATGTTTATTCAACCCCTTCTTTTCATTATCGTAGTTTTGTTGTTTCGTTATTTAGAGTATGGTATCAAAAATCACAAATACTATCAGAAATACAAATTCTGAAATATTATCTACTGACATGTTTTAAAGGTAATGAATATATACGAGTAGATATGTATTGGCACTCAGTAGCTTTTAATTCAGATAGCAAACATTAAGACTGCTTGTCAGGAATTAATTTCAGGATAAATTTCATACTTATTAGATGAATTCTTATTTATTAAACATCTTTCGCTTTCAATAACTTTAAGATGTATATACATTTGCGACAATATACTCCCAAATTATGATAAAATATTTCTTTTTGTGCTTGATAAAATAAAGACAATTTATGATAAATTTTAACATCTTACTCATAAACAGCTTGGGTAATTTGGGATATCTGGCCTGTAGACATTGCACAAATCATGTGACCTAATGACCTCAGCTCTGATGATGTTATAGTTGCTATGGTACTCGACTTAGTCCAATTTCCAAATATGGTGGTTTTCTAAAATTAAGAACGATATAGAACGATTGAGAGAGAACATGTTTTGTTACTTTCAAAATGACTGACTTGAGTGATATACAAGTAACAGCTTTTCAAAAGCTTGCCTGACTAATGCGATCAATATTTATAGAACCTATAACATGATAAGTTATAAACGTTTACATTGGGGGGAGGGTGTCTAAATTGTTTCACTAGTGTAAATTATGAAGATGTTGCACAAAACATCATGCATTTATTTTGTTATATGATACACATCAGAGCAATGGAAAAAGAAAACATTTTTTTATATAAATTGTTTGTATCTCAAATGAAAATGAAATCTTGTACATGTCCCGCTGTAGATTTGAACCCGCGACGTAAAGATGAACAACTCACTCCGCGAGTCTAAAAATGGTTTTATAGGATGAAGAAAATAAGGGGAAAACTAATGTAACTGATTACTGCTGGAAAGCATGGCTATATTTAAAGGTTACATAAATTAGATTCAACTGCATACAGCATAGGCTTTGAGAAAGACAGCTGAAAATATAACTACAAGAAATTGGGAATCGTAACGGTTATGACTGACATGCAGAATATGTTTAATAGTTTCTTGGGTATGCCAGAGCATCAAAGATTGTTGGAAACGTGGGATAAATAAAGCTATATATGCTTAAATGACCCAACAAACTTGAAGGCGATATATGAATGGCGACAGGCGCGGATTCAGGGAGGGTTTCCCAGAGATGAAGGGTCCACATCAAAAATATTTGTACGAGCAAAAAAATAATAAACTTTCTCAATCCTGAAATGTGAGAAGACACTTTTATTAGTCTATATACTCTGTTTTTGTGGGAGGAAACCCCCTGGAGGGGGAGGGGGGTTATGATCAGATGTATATTTGGCCAGTGCATCATCTTAAGAGATTTTTGTTCGTTTCGTTTTTATTACTTTAAATGATGCAACTTCTAACTCACTTCACATATCACCGATATGTTTTTTTTTCCAAAGCTCGACCATGATTCCGACAAAAAAGAACAAACTTTATATCATTCATGCAGTTTTCATTTCCATTCAATAGCATACTAATAAAGTCCAGGAAAAGGGCGCAAAAACGTACACCTGACATTTTGGCGCAAAATAATTGTGTCACCCCTTACATAGAGGACAAATGGATTAATCCAGTAGTATAGAAACGCAAAAAAGGTCAAACGGACATGTTTGTGAAAGAACTCGTAAGAAATAAATAGCTGCTAGCAAAAAGCTAAAGGAAGTAAATACATCAATATATTGTATCAGTAATATGGTTATTTTTCTGCTAACTGTTATTGCTGAAACGCATGTAAGAAAATCCGATGATAATCAGCATGTACACATTTTTGCTGGCTAACTGTGACCTCTTAGCTTCACACCTAGGAAATATTGATCCTTAGTAGTGCCTGACGCCGTGGAGTCAGGCAATGAGACAAACCTGCGAGTCCTCCCATCCTGAGTACGCCCCGAGCTGCGCAATGTCGTCATAGATAAAGGTCATCATGTCAAGTTCCGCCGAGGTCAGACCCTGGACGATTGACCCCAGACTCTGTATTGTGGAGGACGACCACGTGCTTGGACTACCATACACCTGAGAACAAGAGGATCTTCATGACACTCTGTTATTTTTTTATTTACATAAAAATTTAGTAGTAAATGTCGAAGATGTGCATATATATCTTTTCTTTACTAAGCAGTCACAATAACCGGTAGTATAATAACATTAATTATTTAGGAGTCCTTGCATTGCTATTTTTTAAATTAAAAAAAATCTTCCTTTTCTCACCGTTCCTCTCTTGGCAATGCTGGCTAGAGCTTGTTTCTGCTCTGCGCTGTAATCGGTCGGGCTTCCCAGTAAACTCACACATTGGATAAAATCAGCATCCTGGATTCCGGAGAGTTGTGAAGTTGTCAGGGAACTTAGCATGGACGACCCCATGTCAGTTAGCTGAGAACACGTGATAGTGCCTGCAAATATAAACCAAAACCAATTTTTCAAAGTTTGTCCATAGAAGCCCTAGACTTTGATGCATAAGTGCTTACTATAAACAAAATCTACCTGTGTTTCTCTTCCGTCGTCTGGCTGCGGTACAGTCTTCTATGGCGGCGATGATATATTCCCCGATTTCTTTTTTGATTTCACTGATTTCTTCTTTGCACTCAGTAAACAATCCTTCTTCTATGAGTTCCTGCTTTATGGCGTCTCTTTCCTTTAGAGCTTCCCCAATGGTGGATACAGTATCACAGATTCCCGTCTTTAATATATTAACATGAAATGTAAATGTCAATTTAAAGAAGGTTAGTGTGGACTACTGATTGAATGAAATATATGGAGATAACGAACAGTATTCAAGCTCAGAAATCCAGTAAACAATACAAAATAGGTGCAGAGCAAACAGGGACCTCCAAAACATCAGAGGTTGGAGGTGAAATGAACCCAGATGTACTTACCATGCCCGAAAATAAGCTGCTTTGTAGATGTATAGCCCAGTCGCCCAGATGGACGATGTCAGTAGTTGTTATGGTACTTCCTTTTCTGTTAAACCACAAAAAAACACGAACAGCTTTCATAATAGTGTACATGCTTTCTCTTTTAAGAAGTTATATTTAAAAGATATAAATCCCGCCAATCAACTCACACTCAATGTAAATTAAGAATTAACGAAATTTCTGTTTTGCTGAAAAACTTAACTGCAACGCATTAAGTCTGAAGATGACAGGTAAAGACTTACAGAGTAACATATTTTTCGACGTAGGCACCAATCTTGCTCAGGCAAGTGAATTTGGAGGAGAGAATATTAAAGATGGCTTCCATGGCTGTTATGTCCATCTTGGGAATATCAGAGTCAGACAACAGTTCTGCGCAGCTTCCCATACTGTTAATATGTGAGCCAGTAATGGTGTTAGTAATCCCTAGCTGTGGAGAAAAAGAACCAGAAAAATATAACAGACAAGGTTGTATTAATATTCTTGCTTTTTTTTTTATGATTTAGAAACGCTTTCCTAAAAATTAATTGAGATGATTTGGTCATCTTTAAAGTACTAAGCTACTGAGTATTAGATAAAGATTCAAATGACAACAATAGCCTTTGGTTCATATAAATTTGGTTTGTTCCTTTATTTGATAATTACAATTTCACACAGCAAAAAAATATGTACCATAACCTTATTTGGTATAAATACTTTTATTCCTTTTTAAAAATTTGGAACTGTTTTTTCTATTCATAAAAATCTAACAATTGTATGAATTTATGAAGAAGAAAGAAAATCAGACAACTACAAGGATACGGACACATTGTGCTAGAGAATAAAGAGTATAAATAATACGCACACATTCAAAGACGTATTCTTTGATTTCACTTTTTCTCTGTTTTCCATCCAGCAGTGAGAAGTCAGCAGTGCACATCTTTGTTGTTATATCTGAGCAACTCCCACTAACAGCCTTCAGCGCAGTTTTACTGTCAAAAACATCATAATAAGAGATGGAACATAACACTAATAAATGTCCCTCGTTCTTCCCCTGTCATTGGAAGTTTTTGGGGAAAATTTTTAAGTTCACTCTTGCCATCTTCCTGACACTACACACTGAGTGCATCCTGAGTGCACATTATTGTTGGTCTACTTAAGAGAAAACCTTTCTTCATGAAGACAATTGAGTTTGGGATGAAAATGAAGTCTAAATATGTGCAGTTTAGGAAGTTAGGGATGCTTAACGATCTTAATTTTCATGCACGAATAGTTTTGGTGATAAAATTAATCTAACCAATGCTATTCAGTGCCTATAGAACTATTTAATCTCCTCTTATCATGATCATCATTACATTTCACTATACGAAAATATTCAGATTTTGACTTAGTCATTTAAGATTATAGTCAATTAAGGAACCATAAGACATACAAAAAATGTACATCTAAAAGATAAGATAAAAAAACCAATAACCAGTTGTTAAATTTATTTTATAATATGAACTTAAGTCGAAAACATCGACAAGTCTTACTTGAAGCAGGCTAGAGCGTTCCCGGAAAGCGAGGAAGCATCAGAGAGGTCTACATTGGTGGAAGTCAGACAGGTCTCTAACTTCTTACACACATGCTCGTACTGAAATAAAGAAATAATAATTAGTTAGGTTAACAATTAATTACAGCTTTAGTGTTTGTCTAGTTTTATTATATAGAGTTTTCTAGACAAAGCAGGGGTAAATGAATATATTGTAATTATATATGTGACAAAATTGACCTTTTCTGCTGAAATGGCTTCTGATTCAGCGACCGATGATAGAATTGTGGGGCAGTTGGCGTTATTTGTGTCTATTGTGTTAAACAGGGATTTGGGTGCGGATCCTACCACTGCCACCAGGTTGGAAACGACGTCAGGGTCGTTCAGTGCTATTCCAGTGTCTTGTACTTTCTGTATCAAAGCTTTTCCCTGGTTCATAGAAAAGGAAGAATCATCAGAGACCTTAGAATAAATAAAATACATATATATCGGTAAGAAATGAACGAAGTACTTACCAGATTCTTTGGGAGTTTAACCGACTTCAAGTCGGGCCAACTGGCGAGATTTTGAACATCTGATGAACTCATGTCCGTAATGAAATCTGGTGGTATAAAACTCATCATATCCTCTGAGGATTCGGATGCTAGCGTTTTAAAAGACCCTTCACGATCAGATGTGTCTAAGGACTAGAATTAAACAAAGTATTTCTGTATTTTTTATGTCGAAATCCACTTCATACAACAGTTAATTAATTATTGTTTTACTTTCTGTCAGTTAATAACAATATATTTTTCCACGTCATTGGTGCCTTACCGCTTCTACCACCGCCGTGACAACAGAGGGGTTCACTTTATTTTCTTGCTGTTGGTTCTTTATACTCTTAATGTATGCCTTCTTGGTCTCTGCAGACTTGTCTTTGAGTGAGGGAAGAGAGTTGGATCCGCCCCTTACTAACAGGTCGGCATTATCTTTGATCTGTGTTTCTGATGTCAACTGTACACAAAATTAATGAGGAAACTGTCATTTTCTTCATCATATATTTTAAACAAAATGTAAGTATTTTAGTTTAAATGAATCGTAAAATACATACACTTCCGCTTATTAGTACCAAAACTCTTTTAGCCTGAAATATGAACAGAATTAGATTAAGGCATAAGAAAGTAATAATTGCATGAAATACGTGGAGATAAAAAAAATATATATTTCTTTGTAAAAGAAAGATACTGAAACTATTTTTAATAGTAATACATATATAATTATTTTTATTATACATGTAAAATAAAATAAAAAACTCCAGGTACGATACGGTTTTGATGAGTTTCCTATTATCATGGTGAGACGTGGTAAGTTGACGTTGGTTGATATTATTTGACAAGTAGTTGTTGATGAGAAATAATGAATGTGTTTTGGTTTAGTCGTTTCAACTTATTTAACATAAGTCCGCACACATGTGATTTGCATGATATTAAGGCGTCATTCCTGAGGTTTAAAGTAGCTAACCTAAGGCGGAGTGAGTCTGGTTGATATTAATGCCTCATTGAGTTGGAAGGATTTTGGTGGATACTAAATAAGCTTACCTGAGGTGGAGAGAGTTTGTGTGGATTTTAAACTGTTAGTTTACCTAAAGAAGAGCAGGGAGTAAGATTTGTGGATATTAAACTGATAGCTTACCAACAGTGGAGTGGGGAGTAAGATTTGTGGATATACTTTTGAGATAGAAGGAAGCTTACCTGAGGTGGAGTAAGTTTGGTTACATTAATTTTGTTCTGATTATAAGCCGTTGTTAAATCAGAATCGGACAAGGAGTCGACAATCTCGGCTGGGACATACTTCAGCAGACAATCTTTGTCAGTAGTCTTGTCCAGCTTTCCTTTGATTCGAAGCACATCCATCACCTCTCGTATCTATACAATTTTGTAGCAATGTATATCAGTGACTATTCTTTTCAAAACATGTACTTCTAGGTTTTTCTATTCAATTGAATGCAATAAATGATCAAACATAAAGGAGAGATAAGTGAAAATCTTTAAACGTATTTTGTAAATTAGACGTCGATTCAAACATACAATAATGAGATATCTGATTATAAAACAAATTCAAAGCAATACCTTACTCCTCACAAGGTTACCTATTTGTTATCTCGCAATTTTATGTTTTGTTGATAGGCTCACCTGTCCATCGGTGAATTTGGCATTATCCAAAACATTATCTGTACAAACTGCGTCTTTGACTTTTGTTAGAACTGCAGCATCCAGGGATTTCATCGTGGACTTTGAAATCGGTAAATACCTTCAAAAGATATGTAAGAATATCGTATTTTACTCATTAGCAGATTTGCGTATGTGTGCAAAAGTAAATTAACCACGCATTCTGTAAGCATATGTTATCTAAAACAGTTTATTTCTAAGTTTGCTTTTAAAATATCTCCTTGTAGGAGAGAGACTTTATTGAACTTAATAAACAGAAAACCACAAATCAAGCACCGTTCCAGATCAATTTCTAAAAATTTCTAAACTGAATGATGAATAGTTTTTAAAAATTTGAGAATGAAGGGAAAACAAAGTTTGATGAAAAGCAAGAAATACTGAAGATTAATCTTAAATGCTGCATATGAATAATCGAATTGCATATGTCAATGATTAGGAGTAAATTTGCTTACAGGAATAATTTTGTGCCTATCAGCTGCGTCACGGGGAGATAAGCTTACATATGATTATTTTAAACATATGAAAATTATTAAGCTCGTCGTATGAAACATGCAATATAACATTCAATTCATGGAAATATGTGATGATATGTACGTCTTCAACATGGAAATTTTTAATCTTATTCATGTCTTTACCTCTTACTTGAACTAAAGTGTCATTTCAACCATGACACTTATTTGCCTGATTATAAAATTTTCGAAACCGTTTTCAAAAGATTAGGCAAAAAGTAGAAAAATAAGACATTTACGAGGAAAGAGTGGCTTTGTCCATTGCTGAGAAGTCAACTTGTTGTTTGTTTAAGTACTCTGTTTTTATGATTTCCCATTCTCGAGATTGTTCTGTTGAGGGTGTATATTGCGCAACCTGAAAAAAGAATTGATTTAAACAAAGAATCATTAATACACACAAAACGGAATATATTCACCTTTGCCCCTAGAATTAGAGTAGCATTCGATATGTAGCCTTCCTGAGAAGTGCATTAAATTTGTAATTTTCTACGGACATTGGTTTTATAGATAGATTCAAAGCCAAATAAACGCACTAATTTTTAATCCATTTTATGACATTCATTTTTCTTAAAATCTTTTTTTATCTCAACTATGCAAATAAACATTGCAATTGGTTTTGATGTTTTTCCATAGTTTGAGAACAAATTTTCATGCTTTTTCATAGTTTAATTTTAAAATAAAAATCAAAATATATCTTACTTTGGCACTGGTGCAAAACTTTGTCACGTATTTTGGTTTCAAGTTACACAGATTCATCAAAAGAAGGAAATCCTGATCACAAGTGAACGTGGTCTTGTTGCCGAGATACGAATTTAAGCGGCTTTGGAACAGCTCTTTCGATCTATCATCAATATTCGTCTTGTTGCACAACCCTTTCATGGACTCAACTCTGCAAGTGTTAATAAACAGTATTTTAGAAGAAATTTTACTTCTGAGTTAGTAAAAACGACTCAATAAATGAATAACGCATGTCTTCTTCTGAAGAAATTTGATTAAGAAATCTTTCCCTTTTCTTTAAAAGAAAGTCGAAAGCAAAATACAGTAAGCGAAGAAAAAAAAGAAGACATGATCCTGTTTTTCTCACTCCTCACTCTATCTCGCTCCCTATTTTCGTCTGTCTGTCTCTTTCTCAACACACAAATACACTCTAATTTTTTCCCGTTTTTGTATAAAAATCAGGCATGAATCTTAAACAAAGGATAATTTTGTAAAAGTTGGAAAATATAGCAGAAAGATAGAGGGACATCTTACGATAATAGATTCTCCAGTGTAGCGTCATTGACGTCTTTGAGACAGACAGCTTTATCAAGAAGACATTCCTGGGCATGATCTACAGCAAACTGCCACTTGCTCATTGGCATATCACACTGTCCATCCATAAAAGCTTTACATAAAGAAGCATTGAAGTAAGTAGAATCCACGGCTCCAGATTGCTTTGCATCCTGAAAAATAAAATATATATTTACTCATAACATTCATTTTGGTGATTAGAATAGCTCTTTCTTTTTGTCATGATGTAATGGGTATATAACACTAGTCAATTTTTACCTTAAATGTTTGTTCTAAGCTGAATGAGCTGAGGTGATCCTGGACTTGACAGCTTCTGGTGAGGGAGGCGGAAGTAGCCAGGTACAACTTCTGATCAGTAGAGGCTTGTCGTGTTATATTATCAAGTAAAGTTTTCTAGAAAAAAGTATTTCTGAGTGTGAAACTGTGTGTATGAATCATATGATATATACACAAATTACTGAGAAACAGCCAAAGAAAATTTCTGTGATAAATATTATAGAAAGCCTAGCATGCTTGTTCACTGTTAAGTAAAATGTAGCAAAACAACAAACATACATTGGCAATGGCAAATATCTCAATAGGAAGTCTCTTGACGTCATCATCAGACACTGACTTTGGATCCCTCAAATATTGTAAGGCTTTGTCCTGGGTAGCAGCGGTAAGACTGATCCATTTTCTTAAGTATTTAGCAAGTCTAGAACATGTTCCAATTTCAGCTGATGCGGTAAATACTTTAAATATAAAAGAAAAAATACTGATTGTTTTAAAACACAAAGGCGAAGTGAAATTGATAAAATAATCATACCCATATATACTGTACGAAACATAAATTCTCTCACCCTTTGCGTCAGTTGTATCATTCAAAGCCTTCATCATAGTCGTATTTCTGGCAAAGGATTGACAACCAAGAAAGGCCCCATACTTGTCATAAGAGTAACAGTCCGTAGACGCTTTGTTCCTGTAGCAATCAGAACAGTTTCGTGGACATTGAAGTCCCTCTGAACCAGGATCTGTGGTTAAAAAATCTTAGATGCAAGGATTGATTTACATTTTTTGATCTTTTTATACATGAAAATGCACAAATAAAATAATCCTTAAATATGAAGAAAGTGTAAATTTTCTGTGGTGCTTAGATGTGCAGCTCCTTGTCGATTTATATGTAATTGAAAATTTTAAACATTATTCAGTTTACCTTCTTGAATATTGGTATTTGAAAAATGTTAATGGTTTCTGGAATAAAGTTTGTGTTATTCATAAAGTGGTAGTTCTGAATTGTAAATGTTTAAAAAATAATTACTTACCGCATCCACTAAATTGTTTGGGTGTAACTACTGGGGCTTGAGTAATAATACTAGGTGAGCTTTTGCTTGGCATTGCAGTAGACAAGGGCTTGGTCATAGATGCATCCCTAGTAGGCATAGGCGTAAGAGCATCTCTAGTTGTGTTCCCGCTTTTAGGGGGCATTGTCATAGATGGATCCAAAGTGGACACAGGCATAAAAACATCCTTAGTCGTGTTTCCCAATGGTATAAACGGACCTCGGAGTTGTGTACAATTTTGTGGAACATATGGCAAACAGTTTGAGGCAGTGTTGTTTATGAATCCCCACATACCCTCAGAGAAACCCGAGCAGTTACGTAGGACAGCACGACAAAGCTTTTCATCGAAAATGGAGGTATCGACTTCACTTTTAGCTTCACTGCTCTGTTAGAAAAAAAGTGATGGTTAAAATACAGCTAACTGAGATAAACTATTTCATATGGTTTTCTGTGCTCTGACTTTTTACTGATGTAAAATTATTACCAGATACAGCTTTGTAAAATTGAGTCCTTTGAGCATACTTTGGACTTCACAGTCAGTGTTCATGAGGATTTTTTTCTGAATCTCCAACTTCTTCCTGTCTGATGTCTTAGACATGACCTCTCGCCAAAGAGTTTTCTACAAGTAATACGTCTGAAGTTTAAAAAAAATCCATTAAACCTTGCACCACAAATGCAATATGAATATGAATGCTTCATAACTTACATTGGCAGCAGCAAAAGCTTCGATGGGCATTTTCTCGATGTCTTGGTAGGTGATGCTCGGGTCGGCAGGGTTGGAGAGGAAAGTTTTGATCTTTTGTTTTGTGTCATCTGTAAGTCTGGACCAAGTATCCAAATATTTAGCATGGCGGAAACATGTTCCCATGACAGAAGAAGCCTCAAACACTATTAAAAAAAGAAACTGCCGTTATTCAGTTGGAAGATTACGGTGAATTCTTTGTCTTTTTTCTTAAAAAAAAATGAAATTCCATAGACTTGGAATTTTTACACTCCACAACCTAGAGATTTGTTTTTAGAAAATAAGTACTTCATTCATGCGAGAAGTAATTTTTGCAATAAATATGAACTGCGATGACAGTTTCTTCTAACATGGATTAAATTCTTATGAATTTTTAATTGTAGCGATCTCAGTGCCCACGTTAAGAAAACCAATAATAAATTTTCAATCGAACAAATTTTGAATTTTCATTAAAGTAGACCAGACCCAGTGGGCAGCCTTAGGTAGAATTGTTATCTTCCAAAAATTAACATTAGATTCGCCCAGCTTGTAATTCTATTCATTAGAAGGCATTGAAATACATAAAAGAAAAAGAATATGATCAGTAGAACTTCATAATAAAGTTTAATCATAATTTCCTATTTGTTGATTTCTTCATATAGAGAGTTTCCAAATAATCCCCTTTATTCAGTGATTCTCCGCGTATCTTTACCTCCAGCTTCCGAAGTTTCGTTCCTGGCCTTAGATAGTGTAACATTCTTGTCGATATTAGGACAAGGCAAGGCCTGTCCCATTATATCAAATGAGAGGCTATCGCCGGCAATATCACGATAGCAGGGACACTCTTTTGGGCACGGCAGTCCAGTAGCGTTACCTGTCAGGAAAAAATATATATTAGAGTGTATACATGTAGCTCTATCAAATAAATAGGTGGAGATAACTAACAGATAACGATCAGAGGTTCGCTATTATTTCGTTTATGAAATGCTTCTCGGTACAATTCATTTCATAGCACAAACACATAATAATAATATTTGGTTACCAAATGAATCTCTAGACTTTGAACAATTTTCGGAGACATGTGAATAGCAATTTGGAATAGTTGTGTCTATGAATCTCAAAAGATCTGGCGGTAGATGTGAACAGTTACGCAGGAGAGCTCGACAAAGTTCTTCTCCAAAAATGGTAGCATCTACCTCCTTCTTTGCTTCACTGGCCTGTTATCAAATAAACATGAGAAATGAAGTAAATTGACATCAGTCACATGAATTTTTACCCAATAGCATTAATGCACTATTTGAGAAGGTTTTAACAAGTACCAGATAGAGTTTGGTAAAGTTAAGTCCTTTGAGCATGCTTTGAACTTCACAGTCCTTACTCATCAAAACCTTCATCTGAATAGCCAGTTTTTGTCTGTCTGATGCCTTGGACATGACCTCTCGCCACAGAGTCTTCTGTAAATGTCAATAAAACGTTTGTAATACCCCTATTTTTCATGATTAAAATTCCATTCGCATGAACTTTAGTCATACTTACGTTAGCAGCAGCAAAAGCTTCGATGGGCATTTTCTCGATGTCTTGGTAGGTGATACTTGGGTCGGCAGGGTTGGAGAGGAAAGTTTTGATCTTTTGTTTTGTGTCATCTGTAAGTCTGGCCCAAGTATCCAAATACTTGGCATGGCGGGAACATGTGCCCATGACAGAATTTGCCTCAAACACTACAAGAAATTTTAATAAAAGTGAACAATGTGAAATTAAAATACAAGTCAGGGGGTTTAACGATTGTAATTCTAAACAAAGAACTTTATTCGGTAATAACCAATATTTGCCCCCGAAATCAAACTTTGATGGAGATATATTTAATTATGTTCTTAAATAGGGGAGTATATGTTGACTTCAAAGCACTGAATATTTTCATAAGTAATGACGCCATATGTACGTAATGACGTCACAAACATGACGTAAATTTCAGTTTTTTATGAATTTTACAGAAAAATGTACATATTTCGTCGATATTTTGAGTAAAAGTCACCGAGCGCATGTGTGTTCAGGATCAATATTTTGATATAATGTGTAGAATGATAATATCAATGAAATTTGTCAATATTGTTCCTGAACAAACTTGCGCTCTGTAAATTTTAAAGCTAAAATTGTTGAAATTTTGTCCATTTTGTCCTCTTTCTGAAAAAGGATATAAAATCGGACTAGTTTGTGACGTCATAAAAACAAAAATTGTGAATACACTGCTTTGACACTATAATATTTTCTGTTAATTTATATTTCTCATACAATTTATTGAATTCAGCACATTTCAGGAAGTTTTCAAAATTTGACTTTTGTGGGGGCATATATATGCAACATACCGCATATAGTTCTTTAGTGTTCCATGAGAAGGTGTCGACATAAATACATAGTTACATATGGAAACATCAACGAAAGAATCAGATGTCTAACATGCAACTGTAATTTTTTATCTCTCAAGCTCAAACATTGATGAAAGTATTTGATTAATGTAAAGAACCGATCAAGTCTTTAGTAGAAGTTATTGGCTTAGTATAAACGGGAAGAAATGATCAAATTCTACAGTTGCCCCCGCGGCGCAGTGGTTAGAGCGTCTGCTCTAGAGTCGCGAAGCAAGGAATCAATCCTTACGCCGAGGGTTCGAATCCCACTGTGGGACATGGAGACCGGTCCTTCGGATGAGACCGTAGAAACCGAGGTCCCGTGTCGCAGTAGGTGTTGGCATGAAAAGGTTCCCTCCCTGCTTTTGGTCTTGAGTGCCGAGTATAGAATAAAATATGTTGCTCTTTTCCGGCAAGTAATGGCGTCTCTACAGCTGTATATGAGTGAAGAATTCGCGTGAGGGGCGTTAAACAACATACAATTTATCCATCGATCAAATTCTACATTTAGAACACCGCATTTCCATATCTATAGTAAAATTATTATATACAAAAAATTTTACCAGTTTGAAACTTAACCAATATCCGTTTACTTATCCTTTATTTTTATTACTGCATTATCCCTTAACTAATTATTTTTACAGAACATGACTCATTGTTCCTATGCTATTTTGTTATGCTTTACATGTACCTCCTGCTTCTGACGTTTCGTTCCTGGCCCTTGATAGAGTAACACTCATGTCTATATTTGGACACGGTAGGGGAAGTCCATTTTGATCAAAGGAGAAGCTGTCTCCTATACCCTTATCCTTGTAGCATGGACACTCCTTTGGACATGGCAATCCGGTAAAATTACCTAGATGATAAAAATACATATATGTAGCATAGTTTTGGTATCTGTTAAATTAATTCCTTGAATAACATTTTTCAGAATAGATAATTTTTTTCACCCTAAAACAGTTGTTTTTTTCTGTACTGTTTTAAATATGGTCTTCATATCAGCAAATTTACCAATATCAAAGTCAATGCTAATTGTACTAAGAAATCCAATACTTTGGTAAGCAAATTATATTACTTACCAAAGAATTTCATTCCGTCTTTTGAGCCTAAGCAATCTTCAGAGACATGTGAAAAGCAATTTGGAGCTGTGGTGTTAATGAACCTAAAGAGGTCTGGGGGTAGATATGAACAGTTACGCAGAAGTGCTCGACAAAGATCTTCTCCAAAAATGGTAGCATCTACCTCCTTCTTTGCTTCACTGGCCTGTTATCAAAGAAACATAAGAAATGAAGTAAATTGACATCATTCACATGAATTTTTACCCAACAGCATTAATGCACTATTTGAGAAGGTTTCAATGAGTACCAGATAGAGTTTGGTAAAGTTGAGTCCTTTGAGCATGCTTTGAACTTCACAGTCCTTACTCGTCATGACCTTCATCTGAATAGCCAGTTTTTGTCTGTCTGATGCCTTGGACATGACCTCTCGCCACAATGTCTTCTGTAAATGTCAATTAATGCCCTGTTTACATGGAGAGTTTAATTCAAAGTAAATTAATGCGAAGTAAACTTATGCAAATCAAACTAATGCGAATTAAATTGCGTTCACACGACAGCTACTGTGAAGTAAATGCGAATTAAAATTTCAGTTCTGCAGTCCGGCGTCAGCACGACTATTATGAAGTCATTTGCAAATCACGTCACCTTATGTAGAAGCAGATCCATTTGACATAATGGCAAAGTGTGTGTATATACATTTTAATGATTAACATTTTTTTTTTTTAGTTTTTCACTCAAAAATAGCACAAGTACCTATAGCTGACCACCGACAAGTGACATTTGACTAAATTTTGCCATTACGCATGCCTCAGAATTCAATTCGAATTAGCTTCGCTTAGTGTTCACACAGAGCTAATGCGAAGTAATTTAATGCGCAGTAAACTAATTCGCATTAAATTCTCCGTGTGAACGGTAGGCAAAGCAAATTTGCAGTAACTTTAAGTTTAATTCGAATTCAGCTCTCCGTGTGAAGGGGCATAACTTTGAGTGACAATACTGCTCTATTTAATGAATGAAAAGCCATTTCTGTGTGTATTAAATTCATACTTACGTTAGCAGAAGAAAAAGCTTCGATGGGCATTTTCTCGATGTCTTGGTAGGTGACACTTGGATCGGCAGGGTTGGAGAGGAACGTTTTTATCTTTTGTTTTGTGTCATCTGTAAGTCTGGCCCAAGTATCCAAATACTTCGCATAGCGGGAACATGTACCCATGACAGAAGTTGCCTCAAACACTACAAGATATTTTTGTGGAAATTTAATACATGTAGTAATAGACAATGTGAAATATTTAATACAAGTCAGGAGGTTTAACGATTGTAATTCTAAACAAATTTAGTGTTTCATGAGAAGATATCCAAATAAATACATAGTTACATATGAAAAGATAAAAGTTAGGGTCGGGTGTCTAATATGAAATTGTAACTTTATCTCTCATGGAAATAATTGGAAGTGTTTGATTAATGTTATGAATCCGCCGGGTCCTTATTGGCTGAGTTTAAACAAGAAGAAGTATAATTCAAGTATAAACCAAATGTGATATTTAGAACACAAAACACCCCTTATGCTAAAGAAATTTATTATATATACAAGAAAAATTATACAAGTGTGAAACTTAACCACTTTGAATTTACTTATCCTCAATTAGAAATTACTACATTATCCCTTAACCTGTTATTTTCACAGGTCCAGACCCATTGTTCCTAAGCCATTTTGTTATTCTAAAGCTTGACATTTACCTCCTGCTTCTGACGTTTCGTTCCTGGCCCTTGATAGAGTAACATTCATGTCTATATTTGGACACGGTAGAGGAAGTCCATTTTGATCAAAGGAAAAACTGTCTCCTGTACCTTTGTCCTTGTAGCATGGACACTCCTTTGGACATGGCAATCCGGTAAAGTTACCTAGATAAAAATATTAATATTGAAACACACATTTACATTCTATAATAAGAAAGAGATGTTTGTTTCCAAATACTGAGAAAAATTAAGTTTCTTGCGGTGTTTCTCGAAGATAAAATATGGCTTAGAAAAGCAGGTGAGATATCCTTTATCTTGAAATTTTCAATAATGTATTGTGAAAAATACCTCTAGAAATGCTCATATATTTTTATCTTTAATAAGTTACACGATACTAATTTACAAATACTGGTCATAAAAGTCGAATACAAGATATTTAAAAAAAGAGATAAATCAGCAAGTCAAAATTTTACAAACCGAAGAACTTTATGATATCTTTTATTTCAAGCTCACCGGGATATATATTTATTAACTTTTCTGAGGATAGCTAATTATTTTCACCCTTACACAGTCATGAGTTCTTCAATATTTCACATGTAATCATCATAGAAAAGTAAATTGCACAATATCAAAGTCAATGCTAATTATACTAAGAAATCCAATACTTTGGTAAGCAAATTATATTACTTACCAAAGAATTTCATTCCGTCTTTAGAGCCTGAGCAATCTTCAGAAACATGTGAGAAGCAATTTGGAGCTGTGGTGTTAATGAACCTAGAGAGGTCTGGGGGTATATATGAACAGTTACGCAGAAGTGCACGGCAAAGATCTTCTCCAAAAATGGTAGCATCTACCTCCTTCTTTGCCTCACTGGCCTGTTATCAAATAAACATAAGAAATGAAGTAAATTGACATCAGTCACATGAATCTTTTTCCAATAGCATTAATACACTATTTAGAAGTACCAGATAGAGTTTGGTAAAGTTAAGTCCTTTGAGCATGCTTTGAACTTCACAGTCCTTACTCGTCATGACCTTCATCTGAATAGCCAGTTTTTGTCAATTAATGCCCTGTTTACATGGAGAGTTTAATTCAAAGTAAATTAATGCGAAGTAAACTTATGCAAATCAAACTAATGCGAATAAAATTGCGTTCACACGACAGCTACTGCGACCTGCTCCGGCCACAATGTCATTTGCAAATTACGTAAATGTCAAATCCATTTGACATAATGGCAACTTTTTTTTTAGTTTTTCAAAAAATAGCACAAGTACCTATGACATTTGACTAAATTTTGCTATTCCATTCAATTTGAATTAGCTTCGCTTTGTGTTAAACTCTCCGCTAACTTTATGTGTGTGAAAAGCCATTTCTGTGTGTATCGAATTCATACTTACGTTAGCAGAAGAAAAAGCTTCGATGGGCATTTTCTCGATGTCTTGGTAGGTGACACTGGGGTCGGCAGGGTTGGAGAGAAAAGTTTTGATCTTTTGTTTTGTGTCATCTGTAAGTCTGACCCAAGTATCAAGATACTTAGCATAGCGGGAACATGTACCCATGACAGAATTTGCCTCAAACACTACAAGAATATTTCGAAGACATAATAAGGCAAGTCAGAAAGACCTAGTAAAATACTAATACATTAAATTGAGTGATGTGAAATGTAAATTACACTATAATCAATAAACTATAGTTAACAAAAGTAAGTTTTGTCAGGGAATACGTCATGCCTGCCACAACACAATTGAATAATCTTCATTATTATTTAAAAAGCATTAATGTAACTTAGAAGCCCTGCCCATTAACAATCATCATTATCATCATACTCTTGGTATTCTTATCGATTTGTTTCTATGAAATAATTTGCAAAATAACTTTGAAAAATGAGTAAAATGAATAAATAAAAAAACAGTGATCAATATCCATACTCTAGTTAAGAATTGATATGACTGTTAATATAATTGGTGATTAGGACTATTACCATTCCCTGGGTATATGGATCCAGCATCTGGAACTTCCAAGGTTCTGTATTTATACAATGTTCGTAGGTTTGTATTCTATAAGTTTTTCATCAGATCGATATATGCTCGTTAATCGTAGAATGTTTTTGCAATTGTTAATTTTTAATATTATCCCAAATGAATTGACATTGTCTCGATGAAATAACTCTTTAAAAATTTATATATCACCAAAATTGTGGTAAATATATAATATCAGAAATACATAATTACATTGAAGTAAAAAACGTATTCATTTGATATTAAAAAAGATTCCCTACGCCCTTTTTCGAAGATTTAATTAAGTATTCATGCATGTTATTATTTTTTAATTGAGTCTATTGAAGCAGTAGTTTACATTGAATAAAATCCTTGAAAATTGTTTGATGTATCTCAATTCAAAATTTATGGATTAATCTATTTTTATTGCAAGAAAAAATATTATATTTCTTTATACGTGCATTGTTGTGATTTTTCTTATTGCTGGGAGGTCTTGTCATTGTTTTGACTATATATTGTATACTCTGTATATTTGCAATAGAAGAACTGGACTAAAAATAAAGTCCACTACAAGTACATCTGAAATATGCTTTTAATAAAGCAGCAGAGTATGATTAGGAAAAATGAAATTTGTACCTATTTTTATAGTTGAATATATTTTATCATATATTAATTACAAATCTTTCAAAAATGAACAATTGATTACGCTATATCAACAGATTTTAAGATGAGTAATTTTTACATTATTCCTCAACCATTTTTTCAGATATCATGACCCATTGTTCCTAGGCCATTTGGTTATTCTTAAGATTTACCTCCTGCTTCTGACGTTTCGTTCCTGGCCCTTGATAGAGTAACATTCATGTCTATATTTGGACACGGTAGGGGAAGTCCATTTTGATCAAAGGAGAAGCCGTCTCCTATACCCTTATCCTTGTAGCATGGACACTCCTTTGGACATGGCAATCCGGTAAAATTACCTAGATGATAAAAATATTAATATTGAAACACACATTTACAATCCATTCAATAAGAAAGATGTTTCTAAAAAGTTTCTAAAACTATGTATATTTATTCCTGGTTCTGTGTTTTACACAAGTAGTAAATAGAGAAATTTAGAAGCACATGAGCTATCCATTATCTTAAATGTTATTTTTATGAATTATTGTGATTAATTTAATTTTGCGTGTAGCAGGCCATTTAATTGAATGATGGATTTAGTCACAAGTTGCCTACGTCCCTTGACGTTACTGTTCAAATAAAGTATGCTCAAATAGGAGCAGAGCAAAACGGACCTCTAAATCATTTGAGGTGGATAAGGTGCCATGGAGAAGTGAGCTGTATTTCATGATCGGAAAATAATGAAAAAATCCCTCGCCAATTCAGTGTATAAATAATGGACTAACAATTAGTATGAAATATGCCAGTCAGCATTTGACTCAATGATAAATTGTACTTGTTGACAAGGTCATTGCATCGACCATAGAACTTACAAAATGGTAACTTTAAGCGAAACTCCTGATATTCTTGTTACATCAACTTGTTTGTCAATAATTTACTTCGTTTTAGAAATTCCTCCTCGCGGTAATAAAATTTTATTACCTACCAAAGAATTTCATTCCGTCTTTTGAGCCTAAGCAATCTTCACCGAAATATAAGAAGCAAATTGGAGCTGTGGTGTTAATGAACGTAAAGAGCTCTGGTGGTAGATATGAACAGTTATGCAGAAGTGCACGGCAGAGATCTTCTCCAAAAATGGTAGCATCTACCTCTTTCTTTGCTTCACTGGCCTGTTATCAAATAAACATGAGAAATGAAGTAAATTAAAACCATTCACATGAATTTTTACCCAATAGCATTAATGCACCATTTGAGAATGTTTCAACAAGTACCAGATAGAGTTTGGTAAAGTTGAGTCCTTTGAGCATGCTTTGAACTTCACAGTCCTTACTCGTCATGACCTTCATCTGAATAGCCAGTTTTTGTCTGTCTGATGCCTTGGACATGACCTCTCGCCACAAAGTCTTCTGTAAATGTCAGTTAACTTTAAGTAACACGATTATTCTATTCCATGATTAAAACGCTATTTATGTGTGTATTAAATCCATATTTACGTTAGCAGCAGAAAAAGCTTCGATGGGCATTTTCTCGATGTCTTGGTAGGTGATACTTGGGTCGGCAGGGTTGGAGAGGAAATTTTTAATCTTTTGTTTTGTGTCATCTGTAAGTCTGGCCCAAGTATCAAGATACTTAGCATGGCGGGAACATGTACCCATGACAGAATTTGCCTCAAAGACTACAATAAGTATTCGCAGTAATATAAGTACAACAAAAAAATGTAAAATGATCAATCTACTAGTCTATGAACAAAGTTAAAACCAGTAAAAGAATTTTATATTTATTATTTATCTCTTATTCGGCGAAAATAAATAATTGTAAGTTAGACAAACACTTTGAAATTAAGAAATAAGAAGTATTTTGTGAAGGAAACCAAAATTTCTTTAACGTATTTATCAGATATCTGATTGAAAACGAATAATTTCACAACGGATTATATCTAGAATATTTTCACTTAAAAGTGAACATACTAGTATTTAGATCCTGCACAAGAATTAAAAAAAACAATTTAAATTTACGTCTATAAAAAATTCAAAACTATTTTAATATTTGAAAAAGAGCTTTTAAGGAATTCCCCTGTGTCGAACTGTAAGCTTCTGCAAAAATCTCCTTACCCGACTATCTAAATCGAATTTATTGCAATAGTTATCTTCGAAAGAAATGTGATTAATTATCTAAAATTCTAGGTAACATTTATTTTAAAAGGAGAATAACATCTCAGACTGACGTATGTCAATACAATGATTTTTCTTAAAACACATGGATACTTTAATTTTTCTTTTAAAGCCCAGATTTCTTACGTGATTCTGTTTTTATTCCCTGCTCAACTTTTACATAAATATTAAATATTTACTGAAAATGATATGATTTTATGAATGATATTCCAAGATTCCTACCTTCCGCCTCTGAAGTCTCGTTTCTGGCTCTGGATAGAGTTACATTGAAATCTATCATTGGGCATGGCAACGGATTCCCAAACTCATCAAAAGAGAAGCAGTCCTCGGGAGCCTTTTTCTCATAACACGGACAGACGTGTGGACAGGGGAGTCCAGTGGTGTTTGCTGAGATATTAAAAACATCTTACGTTAAGTATATGCATATTCAATCATTATTGAAAAAATGATCTAATCTTATATATAGGCATTGAATTCATGTAAAAAAAAAGTGTTGAATGACTTGATTTGACCTAATGATCAATGAGGCTGGGAACATTTCACTGGGGACTATATTCACTGGTTTTGTGACAACTGGACTCAGTTTGTCAAATCGAGATGTGACTTTACCCAGAATGAAAAAAGATGAGTCCTTTATATACAACTTGATTTCATACACAACATGATCCACCAGATCGGGTGGTAAACTAACAGAAGAATTACATGATGTGAGTTTTCTTTCAACACGCTACTATATGCACGGGTTCAAGATATAGATGAGTATCGCACTCTATATTCATACTTATAAGTTCGGGGTATACTTAATTGTTGCATTTTCGTTAAACTTAATTCTACACTTGCTTTGTCCATATCCAGGATATTACTGCGTTCGTATTGATCATTAATTAGGTAGTTTATATTTTACTTACCACAAGATCCGCTTGGCTTAGGTCCTGGAGTTTGTTGTGCTGTTATTAGGACCAATAACGTCAAAACTGTAAATAGAATAATTATATAATAAAAATATAACACCTTAGGACAACATTTCATTGACATAAACTAATGAATTATTGTACATTTATAAATAAATTATTTATATTAGAATATTAATATACTAAGTAACAAGAAGCAAATTGAAATTTTAACTTGTTCTCACAGAATTGAAATATGTCAAAACTTATTAGAATGGAATATGTTTTAAGTAGATTTAGAGATGCATTGAAACAAAGTGAACAATTGCAAATTACATGTATGCAGTATTGAAATAGTTGAAAGGAATTTTATTATACCTAATAAAGGACTTATAAAAGAATTCTTTTTGAATTCAAAATTAAAATTGGTGAAATTCGTTACACAAATTCATTAGGTCATTTTTAAATCATTTTTGTTTAATTTCTTAAAACGAATAGTAGTAAAAATGATATTGAATTCATAATAACGAATGCAAGAAATTGCTTTAACAGAATAAATTAAATGGACAACATCTAGAATTTAATTCAAATTCCTAATTAAATATGCTTAAAATAAAGATTTATACTTTTTAAAACGAATTAAATTCGTTGATATAATTTTGGAAAATCAATTTATTGGATTGTAGATAATATGTTATTGGCCTAAAATGTATATTTCAATAAAACAAGTTTAGATCTTTTAAACGAATTTAATATAAGAAATGATTTAAACGAATTTATTATGATAATTTTAAGTTTAAAATTGGTTAAACAAATTTAATTGAAATAAAAATATTGGAGTGTCATACAATGTATTACTAATTTAACAATTGCAAGAATTGTTTAACGAATTATTTTCATTTTTTTTTTACAACTTCCACTATTTGTTATATCGAATTGAAATATATGTTTGATTAATTCTAAATAGACTCACTAAGAATTTCATTCTTCATAAGATTGTTTAAAAAGAAAATAACAATAAATTCTACATATTTGTCGTAATACATGAAATTAAATATAAAATCATTTTCTAACAAATATTTTAGTTAGGTTCTAAATAGCCTTCCGTAAATTTCAAAAAATAAAAATCAAAAAAAGAGAAACTTGTATCTTTTAAATACTGCCACAGTTAGAATACGCTTCCTTGGTGTGGGGTGGATGTAATGTAGGTGACAGCGAAAAATTAGAAAAATTACAACTATGTGCTGCTAGAATTGTCACAGGCTTAACTCTGTTAGCTTCTAAAGATGCACTTTACTTTGAAAATGGATGGGAACCATTGCATGAAAGAAGGAAAAAGACTAGACTAACTACAATGTATAAAATTGATAGAAACCAAGTTCCTGAATATCTAACTGATATAATCCCAAACTTACGATGTAATTCATCAAGTTACAGTACGAGAAACTCGCAGAATTATAATATACCCAAATGTTGATTGCAAGCTTACAAGTCAACTTTCGTTCCCCTTGTTATTGAAGAATGGAACTCATTACCTCTTAATGTAAAAAATTCTTCCTCGTTATCTATTTTTAAAAACTCTATTTCTTACAATAAACAAATGCCACCCTCTTACTTTAGTTATGGAACTCGACGCTTAAATATAATTCACACGAGGCTTAGACATAACTGCGTGCTAAATAGCGATCTTTTTGGATGTAATGTAATCTTGAGTCCACTATGTTCTTGTGGAAGAGTAGAGGATACTCATCATTATTTCTGAAGCCAGGAAAGAATTTTTTGACAAATTTTTGCGAATGGGTAAATTACACACTGTCGATACTCACACTTTACTCTGGGGAGACAAATCGTTAAATGATGTTGAAAATGAATACCTATTTTCTATTGTAAAAAACTTTTATTAAAAATTCAAGACGATTTGGTTGATACAATAATTATTTCTAATTGTAAATCTTATACAGCATGTTTATTACATATGGACTGTATTCTATTGAATGTGTTTTACTCTGATTATTATATATTATGTTTTTCTGTGTTATTCATTTTAAGCTGAAACCCATGTGTGTAAATATGTTTGGTATAATGTATATATAGGGAGAGGGCGTAATAAGTTTTTCGAACTTTTGCCCAATCCAAATTGTAAAGTATATACAATAAAATATGTTCAAATCACTGTTTATGAAATGCAAAAATTACACACATCTAGAAAACTATAAGTATAGATTCACTGTCTATCCTCGACCTCCTGGTTGTTCTTTGGTTATTACGAATTGAAGAAAAGGCCTATTTTGATAGAATTCTGTTGATATCATGCTTTTGATTCTTCGATCCTGGGCAGATATATTGATCATGGCGATAAAGCCGTAAAGACTGCACAATAATATAAAGATGGATAAATTAAAATCCCCAGACACACATTATCAGAGAGAAATGCCCGGAATTCAATTTTTCTCAAAGATCCAATCTGGCTTTGATTATCTTGAGAGAACATTTTTTTAAAAAAAATTGAGTTTACTGTTCCTTAATTCATTATTTTGCATGGCATTCTCATATCGTGTAATATTTTCTGCATTTTGTCATAGTGAATGAAACAAATAATTATTTAAATTCCTCAAAAATAGCTTTGAAATGTTAATCTGCATACAAATAACGGTGTTAAGGAATGAGAGAGATACACTAAAAGTTTTGCGAAAAATGCACATTTATATATCAGCAAAATTCTTATAGTGTTGTCTTAAGATTGAAGTATTTTAAATTAAAACATTTTGACAGTAGAATTATATTGCAATGATTATATCGTTGAACCATTTCAAAATACAAGCTGAACAATAGAACATGCAATGTTTTGCAATTCTAGATCTTCAAAGACAAGAGCGTGCAAATTGATACCTAAGACATGAATGTGCCCTACTACCAGATGATAACTGAGGAGTCAATTGTTTATTTTTAAAAATTACCCCCAAGTTATTGTGCGAATTCAATTATATTCTGACAAAAGAATCAATTATGCCATGTTAAACCTTGATCCAGACTGTGATCTGAATACAATCAGACTTTGTCAGATCAATGGATTCATGTATTGCAAAAGTACCTGCCAATCGATCGGACGTAGAAACTTTTATTTTTTAACAGCAAATATAATGCCAAAAATTGTCTTGATAATTTTGCATTAAAAAAAATTATATAGATATTACTGTTGATAGGGTAGTTATACATCGATATTTCGCCATTCAAAAAATCATTTGAATATTAAATAATGTATTGAACCGTGATACCATGGATGCAATGTAAATATTTTTGATAATTATGCTGAGGATGATTTAGAAATGATGGAATAAAGGGTTTTAAGAGGGTTCAAAGAACATGCACATATCTATTTTACTTATTTATTGACGTTGAAAATTGATGCTCCTAATAGTAAAGTAGACACAAGGGGTCTTTGGGCTTTTATCTCACAACGTTCATCAAATTTTATAAAATATTTTCATCATTGTATCTTTAAAACACTTACGAAAATGAGAAAAATGAAATATGTGTTTCAAAAAAATGACGAAATATCATAAATTAGGGTAATTACATGTAATTCCAATTCAAATAATTGGAATTTGTTGGTTTTTAAAGAACAGTAGAAGAACTAGGATGATAGATTTGATTATTAAAACATAAAGCGAAGAATGGTCAAACTGTGCGGACCATGAAACATGAAACAGTTGATGAAACAAGAATTTCAGCTGTCTCGTTTAAAGTCATCATTTCATAAGTTCTATGGTCGATAGAATGACCTTGTCAGCAAATACAATTTATCTTTGAGTCAAATACCTACTGACGTTTTTCATACTAATTGTTAGTTAATTATTTATACACTGAATTGACGACGGATTGTTCCGTTATTTCCCGATCATGACAAGGAGCATATGGCGGGTGTGACCGGTCAGCAGGGGATGCTCACTCCTCAATGGCACCTAATCCCACCTCTGATGTTTCGGAGGTCCTTGTTTGCTCTGCTCCTTTTTTGTATTGTTTTATGGAATTTGATTTTGAATACTTTTTCTTATCTCCAAATATATATTTCATTAAATGCACAAAAGTAAACAATTAAGTAAAAATACAAAACCTTTATGAAAAAAAATAAAATAGTTTTTGATAAGGCGAGAATATGAAAGAACCAAAAATAATGTTGCACCAGGTGGATTAAAACCACGACTCTGAAAAGGGACTGGTAAGCAATCATTGGATATTAATATGATTTCGACCTTAGATACATCTGTTTGAAAAATAATATTATTACTTAGATCACAACATATCAACATATCAAAATTAAATAAGGGGTAGGACGGGTCAAGGTTCATGCAAAAAAAAGTGCTTAAAGAAAAAAAAGTTGTTTTGGTAAACTGTTGAAGTTAGTTTAAAAGTTGTAAATGCTAACATTTGCTAATTTTTTTTTAAAATAAAACAAATTTTGAGCAGAATACGATAGAAAATAATGTATGATTTTAAAGGAACCTATTCAAGATGATTGCTCTTTCTTATTGGATAATGCTTTTGATAAACTGAATAAAGTCAGTTTTGACAAAATGAATGTTACTTTTCATACTTTAAAAATAATTTAGGCAATAACATACTCTATTATGAAAAGTATTCGTTATTCAAGATTTCTAATATATGTTTTAACAATAAAGGGTATTAAAAAGTGGAGATATTAAGAGAAGAACTATCTCAGATAGCTTAAATACTGTTTGTTGTTTCCAAATATTTTATCTCTTCTACACACATTCAAATCTATACCGCATAATTTATCTTAATGAAAGTGGAAAGAGTCTTCGTAAATTCATTTCGAATTAAATAATATTTACAATATAATAAAAATTAGGTTAAAACATATAGATATTTTAGTGTTAAAAAAGAAAGTTAGATATAGATATATATGCCAACATTCAAGATCTTTTGCTTTTAGTAAATTTAACTATATATATGCAATAATAGGAGGTCTCAACAATTGTACTTGAAACTAACTTGTTCTTAAATTTAATTTTTTATCAATTGATAGTTTTTTAAGATGTGATGCTATTGGTACCTTTTAAATGCATAATTTATGATTAAAATTTATTCTACAGATCAAAGCAGCCTTTTTGAAGTATTTTCTTAATAGAATTTAAAGCGCAAAACGATAATATAATAGCTTATTATGTGAATTTGGATATGTTAGAAAGTATTAATTGAGAGGGTTTTTGTCATTTTGCATGTATAAAGTAAAAAAAAATGTATTCTAAAATTTTGAAAAAAATATATATGATACATTTCAATTCTCTTTAATTAGATCAGTTAATGTTATTTATTATCAAATAAAAAAAGTAATTTTCTTTATTTTCTTTATTTTTAAGCGAATTAACTACGATTGAGTATGTTTTGAGAAAAAAAAATAGGGAGAAGAAATTAAGGAGTGGAAGAATGTAGAAAAAGCACAAACACAAAGACATTATGGTCACATCAAAATAGCATGCATTTCGCACAAATATTGTATGTGGACATTCGCCTGAAATTTGCACGTTGGACTTTTCTGACGATTTTTGTTTGATTTTCGCATGAAGTTCATGCGAAAAATCAAATGCTTGAGAATCAAGAGAGCCACTTTTCCCTGTAATATGTATATGTATTTCTTTCAGTTTTAAGAAACGATGTGCAATCTGAAAGTTCTGTTCTGTTTCTTAAATTGACAAATCTGACAAATATGGTCAAACTGGATAAAAAGTGTCATACTCACATGTTAAGATACACGTTATTTTACTTGTTGATGACATTTCCTGACCAGCAGTGGATTTTTATTTTCCTTTTTAAAACTGCGACCAGCGCAGTAAAGCTCTCCTTGTCAAGTGCGGTATCAATCACTGATCGATAGATTGGACAGGCATGACGAAACAAGGCATTTGGTTTAATTTTCAGTTCGGGATCGGGTAACAATGGCCTATATTTGTGTATGTGTTATTTCAAAATATTGTATAAATGTTGAACATATCCAACTTTAAACTCAAACTTTGAAAATTTAAACAGCATCTACCTTTCCTGTCCTTCTTCTATAAAAATAATTTCATTCACAGCTTTTAATTATAGCATCAATGGATTCTAATCTACTGTTTATAGGTTAAGGGAATCACTTTATTCAGATCGATGTCACGGAATAAGATCATTTGATTCTATTGAAATGATCATTTTATATTGATTTTTATCTTCAAAGATTGTTTATAAACAAATTTGCCATCAGAGTTGTACTAACAAAAATAACATTGAAATCAAAAGCTGCTGCTCCCATCAAGACAAGTTGAACTTACCTATTTAACTAAAGATTTTGTGGAAAAAGCTATCAACATAGTAGATTCTTTAAGCGAGGACACAAAATTTGCCCGGTTTTAAATTGCCTTAAATATTTTTTTTTGTAATTTTTAGAGCAGATAGAAGAATTCCTGTCTATTAACCAAGCTGTCGTTCCTGGGACGTTTGTAGGGATACATGTACTATCTACTTTTAGTTACTAGTTAAATTTAAGGAAGGTTACATTTCTGTACTTATACTCAAATATTTATTTGAATATAATTCCTGGTGTATTTTGCGAATGATAGTATATAAGATGTGCCAAATGTTAATCATTATCGATGCAGTAATTTGGGATTATATATTGAAACATCATATTGACCTTAATCACTTTTATTAACGCAAGGAATTACATCTTTTTTTATCCTTCAATCACAAAATTTTCGAAAACAAACAGATCAAAGTTACAAACAAGACAAGAAAAACGTGCGAAATTTTTTTTAAGAAATAAAGAAAAAATAGAGAAAGTAGAGAGGAAAGGGGGAGGGAGTGAGGAAAAAGGGGCATTGAAATTTCGAAATGCTGTTAATAAAAAAGCGAGTTCTTACAATTTTTCAACAATGTCCTTCTAGTGCCTTTAAAATTCCTAACAATTACAATTTTAAATAGTAAAATTTTTTCAATCTAATTCTTTCATTAATTTCATGGTTTTTCTTTTTGAAAATATGTCTTTAAGTACAAAGAACATTTTAGATATAAAGATTGGAAGTTTATCATCTTGCACTTGAAGGCATTTAATTATAATTGTAAATTACTTCTTTAAGATTAATTAGATAAATTTGCTTATATTTGCAATATCGTTTGAAATCATTCCTTTCTCAGAGTTATTCATCTGTATGAATTATAAAGAGCCTTTGAAATTATAGTGAAGACACATATTTCAATAAAAGTTTCAAGCATATCTAACCTTGTATATAAAACTTACTATTAAATGATTTCTTTCATTTGCTAAACATAGTTTATTGAATGCTTGCATTAATGTTAACAGGTCAATAACAGAAAACAGGTAAATAAATTCTGCAATAGACCAAATACGAAGCATGAAAGAGACAACTGGGCTTGATCACGATTTTCTTTATATCAGATTGTAAAGTGCACGATCGACCTCCTGCAAGCCTAATACATACAATCTAAAGAAATTAATAATGCAGCATGAGAATAAAGAGATTAATTGATATCCTTCAATTCTGGGTATCGTGTTTCATTCCTACATGTTAATAAGCATAATTATCAACACTTTAAATTCAATTCTGTCCTTTATTTTAAAATTTAAAATGAAATACAATTTCAATACAAAATACTGGTGGTAGCAGCGTAAAGATAGAACATTTTCCCCCTTTGTTTTACTCACCCGAAAATGAATATTTTCCTAACTAATTCATTAAATTATAAAGAAGAAGTCTATTTTAAACAAATCATATTTTTATTCAACATAACAAAAATTAATTAAAGAATGTAAGGGCTGGACAGACAGGGAATCTTTGACATGAACATTTGCCGATAAACTGTGGTTTCGTGAATATTCTTTGAGCACCAATTTTCGAAGAATTCGTTGTTGAGCAGATTCACGAATTTAAGGTAAGTCACTCTTTAGCTTTTTAGAAAAGTTCGCGCAGAACCTCTAACTTCAAAAATATTTATTAAAATTCAATTTTTATAAAATAATTATGTTCAACAATGTATATTTTTTAACAATCAAAGAAAAAACTGCTCAAAAATCTTCAAAGAAGCAAGATTTATTAGGGACTATTTTTCGTGGTGGAAGGATATTTAGCAGAAATTTCTGCAAAGCTGCACAATTATTTAATTTAAAGTCTTGAAACTTTAGCCACACATACTTTTACTCGCAGAATATTTTTCGTTATGATATTGATAGGAATATTTGATATAGGTCTTAATTTGTATTTTTAGAACAAGTTTTACATCTCCCTTCAACAAACTTTGCCAAAAACTGGAGATATATAAAAGAAGTCAAGATAAAATTTACACCATTTTTTGCCTGAAAATCACATATTTTGTCCAATATTTCAAAATTAACATCACTGACCACAACTTTTTCTTTCATTATTTTAAACTACTCGATACTTATGACTGATCAGCACTTAAATCATGCAAAGCTTGATATAAGAAAATATTATATTGCTAATTTATTTTTCTAATACCAAAAATATGTTTTATTGTAGTGCAAAAAGGTCACATAATTATTTACGCGCATTAATTTGCAAGATTTGATCAATGATAAACATTATTCAAACTATTTTACGTTAAGTAAGAATAAATTTATTGCCATGGTTACAGCTGATAAAATATAATAAGAGATAATTGTATAAAAGTTATAAACTAAAGGGTTAAAATTTCAGTGCAAAAAGGTCAACTTAAATGTACCATACATCAGTACGATGCACACTGACCCCCTATTTTCTCTGCGATTTTGAGTCACACTTTATGAATACTTATCCAAAATATACTTCTCAAAAAATCCTTGATATAAGAAATTTGAGGAGTGACTTACCTTAAATGTTCATTCCATTAAGAAAAATGTTATTCATTTGTATAGGCAATTCTTTTGTCCACAAATTAAAGTATCCTCGAAAACGTCATTTTTACACAATTCACGAAAATTGATGCCAACAAAAATTTATGAAACCACGGTACCTATTTATACTGAGTACTAATTGCGCTCCTACACGAAACTTATACTAAAAATAAAGGATCAGGAGACAAAACTGGTTTGTGGCCTCTTTTTATACGATGAATTATATTAAATCTACAATCATTCTGGTTATTTTCAAACAAGTGTGAAGGAATACGACACTTTCTGAATAGTGTCAATAGTTTGTATTGTTTTTATTTTGACAAATACTGCGTTATCCATGAATTTTTTAGACTCTATGATAGAGATGAATAAAATAGGCAGGTATCAGTACAATAGAGGGAAATTCATGTCTGAGGAATCTTCTATATATTGCTATTGTTATTATTTACAATTGTCCAGTCCGATGACTGGATGACAAAACATGCTGCTTTCAAGATGTTTTTACTTAACCACAGACTCGTGTTTAATTGAATGGTCGACAAAAGCCCTTTTATGCATGGCAATTCCCATAGAACCTCAGCTTCTATCGTTTTGGACCAAGCAATGCATATAAAATTTGTATTCACTGATACTATGGTAAACATGTAGCCATTTGTCCATTATTCGACTTACAAAACTATAAAATTATACTATAAACCATATGATTGAAATTATGAGCATTGAAATTGTAGATTCGCATTTTAATTTGTCTCTCGGAAAGCAAGAAAAAGAAAGCTCTCTTTGAGCATTAAATTTTTCTGGTATTTTTGTTGTACTCATTCGTAATGCAGTCTAAGCTGATTAATCGGTAAGAAATCAGGCCGCTGCATATGAATTCTTTCCTTGTTCTGTTTATAATTGGAAAGGTCAGGTAGATTTTAGAATATTTTAAAAATAACATATAAGCGCAATTAGGTACAATTTTCTCGTTTCACATTTGGGTAGATTTTGATCATATACACTGAGCAGCCAAAGGAGGTAAATGTATTTCTTTGTGCTCATCTCACATATTTCAAGGGCATCAAAGAGTCGGGAGGTGTCAAGTTTCAATGGGATTTGGAAAGTGGTACTCCTACCAGAATGAAAGATCTATATTCTCCAAATTACGTTTCCATTTTTTTAAAAGTAGTATTCCATTAGGGTACACATAACAGTGATTAGTTGCATGCAAAATGTAGAGTAAAATTTAGACTTTTGATTTTTGTCAATATGTCACATCATTCTTTTTTTTACTAAAAATTCCACAATTCTGAGTAAAATAAAGGCCACATCCTATGGAAGGGATTTACCGCTTAAATTTTATGTATCTTTCTTTCATACTTATTCTGCTACTCCTACTTATATACTTATTCTCCTACTTAATAGTAATCACTTAAAATCTAAAATAGTATGTTATGTGGATTTTATAGTCTGGAACAAGAGGTTTGATCGTCTGCAGATAATTGCTGTACAACTCTTGAAATACGACTTAGATTCATTTTTTTTAAATTGTATACGTCATTTAATTATCTATCAAGGAAACTTCTGAGAAAGACTCGTCCGGCAGGTATCTTGAAAGGGCTAAAATACAACTTGGGAGCAGAGCAAACACGTCTGAAAACACTGTCGTGATCTTCTTATCATTGTGTTAATAGAAAAACGTAAGTCTGAAAATAATTGCATTTCAATGTGCAAAGAATATAGAAAATGTTTAAAAATGATAAAACCCAACATATAAAAATACATTTATTATTAGATTGTATTAAAACTTTCATGCATCATTCGATTTTAGGACAATTATTTTTTGATTTATAACATTTGATGTGATCTCTTTAATACTTTATCCATGTCGACGTTACTTAGCTTGTTACACGTTTATGGGTTACATGAATTTACAAAGAGTTCTTTACATATGGATTTTGTTTATCTTTTTGAAATTAATTCATATACGTGGCTTCCAAATACAGTATTCTTC